ACTTATTCTAGTCAGTTCGGTAGCAACTGTTTATAGATTCGTGTTGAAGCTAAACTTGAGTAGGTATTTAGGGGGATGTCTAGAATTGTTAAGGATACTGTAAGCCATCAGAAGGTCACCTCTAAGACGCCTGTACTCTAATGGGTAAAGGTTAAGTGATTGGAGGCGCTCTTCACAAGGTTTAAATTTGAGTCTCCGAACTGACTTCGTGGCTCGCCGTTGGAGTGTCCTTATCCTCTTGGAGTGAGGAAGGAAAGCCTATGTTTCCGTACTCTAAGTGGGGACGGATAAAACTGCTGAAGATTATATGGAAATTTCATCCGTTAAACTGGCCAAAAATGAGCTTCAATGTTACCAGTGCGAGGTTTGCTCGAAAGGCATTCTTGTCACAGTTATCGTAAGACTTTAAATCGTAGGGCACCAGGACTTCTAAATCTTTTTCGACTCGGGATACTACTAGAGAGGAGTTTCCTAAGTTGTAACTATAGTCTGCGACATGTCGCAGATGGACAACTTCACACTGTGAAGTGTTAAAGGTAAGTCCGTTATTGTCTGCCCAACTTTGAAGTGGAGTCAGATCCTCCTGAAGTGCGTGTATATCGTCTTGGTTGTGTATCCCTTTCCGAGGTTCACGTCGCCAGCAAAACGTAATAAGTCTGACGTTACCTGTCGAGGAAGATCATTTATATAAATCAAGAAGAGAAGAGGTCCTGGTACGGAGCCCTGGGGGACTCCACTAGGACATTCCACAGCTTGAAAGAAAGTGAAGTTAACACTGACTTTAAAATGTCAATTTTTAGATATGAAGTGAACCAATCGATTAGAGGTGGTCTGATACCCAATCGTTTCTGATTATTGATATGACATATATTGTTAACCCTATCAAAAGCTTTTGAAGGTTCGCTGCGTCGACTTCCTTTGGAAATTGGTGTGATAGTTTGCCCCGGCTTGGTGAGTGTAGAAACATCACGCTATGCGACGTTGCCAGGACTGAGGCTGCTTCCCCCAGTATAGCACAATGGACCATATCTGGGCCAGGAGAAATGTCTTTTCTTATGTGCTGCAGTTTCCGGAACACGCAATCAGCTCTCAGGTCACTACGAAAAGTCCTGTGCAGTTGCAAATGAAGCTGTCATCAGTATAGTTGATGTGGGTCGGTTGAAATGTCAAAGAGTATTGTTCAGCCCAAAGGTTTGCGGCGTCGCCGTCGTTATTGGTCGGGCCGTTAAAACCTAGCAGTTGGGAAACTCCATTTTTTGCTTGACGGAGAGAGGCTGCATAACGGAATTAGCTTTTCGGATTGGAGACAAATTTATCCACAAGCTTTGCCCGGTACTGAAACCTGTCTTCTCATATAGCCTTCGTGCATATGTTCCTTATATGTTTGTACTGCCTGCACCCTCCATTGTTGTCAGTTCGTTTGTATTCTGCCCAACAGTGCCTTTTGCGGCTTAACAGGCGAAGAGTGTGGTTCTTGATGATTGTAGGTTGCTTGCAAATTTTGGGGACCGTTCGAGGAACTGACTGCTTTGTAGCACATACGATCGTGTACAACAAGAAGTCCCAATGAGTATCCACATCGAGTTGAGGGTGAATATATCAATCCACCTGTTGTAGATAGTCCTGTAGAGCTGACACATTCAACAGTATGAAATTCCAGCGCACGTTGTTAGTGGGATATCTTATCTCACTTCTGCCTACAAAACTGAAGGCTATAACGACGTGATCGCTTTTCCCCAGGGGAGCCAGGATTGAGAGGTTGTCAACTAGAAATTCTTCGTTTGTAAGTACGCAGTCTAAGCGCGACGGTGTCTGACTGTTTCTCCAATGAGTTGCCGACTTCACATTTTCGTATAATAACAAATCTTCAGTGAGTTTGAAGAATCGAGCTTCAGTTGAGTTTTCACCTTCAATATATGTATGTTCCGCGAAATTGACTCTAGGGAGATTTAATTCCCCTAGAATCAGGATATGAGTGAATCCGAGACGCGTAGAGCGGGATAGTACTTCCAGTATACGACTGTCATACTCGATTTCGGGAGTGGGCTTCCTATATATGACTCCCACTAGGCACCTCGAAGCAGTAGACAATCCTACAGACCACCATATGGATTCCTCAAGATTGTTAAACTGGAGGTTATAAACTTGGTGTACCTCCAATCAAGATCGTATGTATACGGCTAATCCACCCCCAATTCCTATTTTTCTGTCGTTGCGAAACAAAGACATCGCAGGTATTGCTAGCCACTGGTCATAGAACCGAGAAGATATCCAAGATTAATATATTCCTATCAGATCAGTATTAGTAGCATTGCTAAGTTCACGTAGCGTATCAATTTGTTTGGTAGACTAGCGGCGTTCATGTATAAGCAGTTTATGTTTTCAATTTGAAACGCGTGAGGTTCTTCCTGTTTGTCTGTCTAAGCCTTACGTGAATGGACAGGTAGCCTACCTATATAAGGTTTCCGAGTTGGTAGGCCCAGGAAATCACTCTCTACGATCTCGAGTGAATTCTATATTTATCGTGTCCTCAGAGCAACAAGGATTTATTAACATACCTGGACTATGTCTCGCACTTCATCCATTAATATTAATTTTCATGAGCATTAACCTGCCTGTGCTATCTGATACCTTATCATCTCTGTCCATTACCTGGTACTTTTACTCATTTACGTCTTTACCCAATGCCTTTGTGACCAGTTAGTGTAGACTAAACGATTACACTACACCAGTTTCTTTGTGCTAGAATATGGTACCAGGCTTTTGGAAATGTCCAATGTTGGTATTCTTGCCACTGATCTTGAACAATCATTAAAATCTTGGCAATTACTACAAGATGAAGTTGCTTTGAATGTAAAGGAATATGATTGTTTTGGGTTATTGGGGCTACCGTAACCTAGCAAGTACCATATAACCAGGTAGGACTATACCAACGACCTGGGACCATACTGTAACACAAAGAAATTAACATGGAATAATTGGCTGGTCAACACTAGCACTATGATCGTTATCTTCATGATTGATGACCAAGGACGAGTGGAATAAGTAAAGGCTAGAGTACAAATGTTCTTAAATATGTTTTTTTGGTAATTAAAACCGCTAGCAAATACAGTGGTAAAGCTAATGAATAAATTTGTCTCCAATCCGAAAAGCCAATTCCGTTGTGGAGCCTCTCTACGACAAGCCAAAATTGGAGTTTTCGAACTGCTAGATACTAGTGGCTCGACCAACAACGACGGTGACGCCGCTAATCTTCTGGCTGGATAGTACACTCTGACATTTCAACTGACCCTTGACTAACTTTGATGATGAAACTTTCATCTACAACTGCACAGGACTTGCGAAAATGAACCTGAGCGCTGACTTGACGTATCGGAATATGCAGCATCTAAAAAAGACGCATCCTGGTTCAGATATGGTTCATTCTGGTTTAATTAAGGAGGCAACTTCAGTCCTGGCAACGCCGCTTAGCGTGATGTTCTCACACTCGCTAAGCCGAGACACATTACCGGAAATTTGGAAGCTGGCTCACATTACACTAATGTTTAAATGAGGTCGGCGCAGAGAACCTTCGAGCTACCGACCTATGGCACTTCTCTCTAAACCGTCAAAAATTATGAAATCCCTGGTATACATGACTATTAATTATCATTAAACTTCTTTCCACCCCAACATCCCAGTTTCATGGAGAGTCATTCTTGTACAACAAACCTATTGACTGTGGTGGACAGATGGACAACCATCCTCGATCGCAAGTAGGTTGGAGTAATCTACCTTGACTTCTCAAAAGCCCAAAGAATTACGTATCAAATCACCTTTAGTAGATTGGCTTATTTCATATCTAAAAATTGACATTTTAAAGTCAGTGTTAACTTCACTTTCTTTCAAGCTGTGGAATGTCCTAGTGGAGTCCCCCAGGGCTCCGTACCAGGACCTCTTCTCTTCTTGATTTATATAAATGATCTTCCTCGACAGGTAACGTCAGACTTATTACGTTTTGCTGGCGACGTGAACCTCGGAAAGGGATACACAACCAAGACGATATACACGCACTTCAGGAGGATCTGACTCCACTTCAAAGTTGGGCAGACAATAACGGACTTACCTTTAACACTTCACAGTGTGAAGTTGTCCATCTGCGACATGTCGCAGACTATAGTTACAACTTAGGAAACTCCTCTCTAGTAGTATCCCGAGTCGAAAAAGATTTAGAAGTCCTGGTGCCCTACGATTTAAAGTCTTACGATAACTGTGACAAGAATGCCTTTCGAGCAAACCTCGCACTGGTAACATTGAAGCTCATTTTTGGCCAGTTTAACGGATGAAATTTCCATATAATCTTCAGCAGTTTTATCCGTCCCCACTTAGAGTACGGAAACATAGGCTTTCCTTCCTCACTCCAAGAGGATAAGGACACTCCAACGGCGAGCCACGAAGTCAGTTCGGAGACTCAAATTTAAACCTTGTGAAGAGCGCCTCCAATCACTTAACCTTTACCCATTAGAGTACAGGCGTCTTAGAGGTGACCTTCTGATGGCTTACAGTATCCTTAACAATTCTGGACATCCTCCTAAACACTTACTTAAGCCTAATCTCATTATCAACCTATGGGTTAACACCCAGAAATTGGAGTCACAACATTGCAGATTGGACTGTAGACACAACTTCTACTCCTTAAGAGTTGTCAAATGCTGGAATTCGCTGCCGACTGAACTAGTCCAAGCGACTTCACAGGAGTCCTTTAAGATGAACCTTGACCTATTCTTGAAGACTAAGGATAACATATCATGATTTATCATTTTCTTTTCTCCCTCTATTATCGTAAGTATACGTAGGTTCCTGCCTAGAGGTATTGGTGATCCTCTGCTACTAGACACGGAAGCCTGTTAAGCAACAGCTCGTTCGATTCCGTCCACAACCATTTGAACCATTTGAATTATTTTACAGTAAAGTTTGGCGTTTGGTTCATTTAACATCGGAAATCTAATTGAGGTTGTTACGTACAGAGCGTTACCTCAATGAAGCGACGGGTGGTTTTCAGTGAGTCGGATTCAGGTAATGTTCAGTCCGTTTATATTCAAAAAAGATGATGAAATCAAGACCAAGGAAAAGCCGACAGTAAAACAAAGTACGAAACGATATTCTGAGAAGAAAAGGAAATGCACAGACGTCGATGGTATTAAATTACTTTCTTATAAAGCCCTTAGATAATCAAATATCCTGCCGTGATAACTCTCAGCAGTCAATAATCGACGCTTTACGACGACAGCAAGAGTTATGCAAAATCTCCCGTGGCAAGAAAGCAAATACTATTGAAGCGTACTTCTCACAGTCTGTGAAACCCAAGAAGAATGTAGTTTCCGTTGATGATTTCTTCGGACCATCTGGAACAAAATCAAATGCTAAGGTGAGCTTTTAAATAATACGAATTCTTTGGTCCTTATCAACCCATCACTAAAAACCTTTGTTTGGGAAATTGTACGATATTATTCTTCATCGCCGTTCAATAGGTAATGGTAAAAATACTCAGTCTATCCAAACATGTTTATGAAGGTTTATTTGTATATTTTGTGCCCGTTTCCTGCTTTGTTGTAATCATCTACCATTTGATTTGATATAATTAAACTGTGGGATGAACCAATTGGGTTTCAAATTGCATCTTTTAAACTCTTGCGTGAAGTCTTTTCATCTGTATGAGCTTATAAGTTCATTGCATTAAAGTAGGTTTTGGTTTTCTGGTCAAAATACTAACCCTGGTCTATTACCCTGCCCCCTAACCTTAAATCCCAGTCTTAATCTTCAACATTAATTCCTAACCGTATCTTGAAACGGGTAAATGGTTGAAATTTCGCAGTGCGATTTCAAAAATTGCTTATATTCGCTCCAACACTGTTTCGAGTGCGAGATTCCTACTATTCAAGGTTGCTAAATATTTCTGTACCTATTGCGTGGTTACTTCCTGGCCTTTGTCTTCAGAGTAATTGTACCCTGTCATAAGTAAATTAAAACAGCTTACAAAACCACATTTGTAAAGGTGCATTACATCATGAACGTGTTATTATGTTCTTGCATATTGTTTTTACATTTTTGCATTCTTTCTCAGCTATATTTTGGCACCAAGTTTCTAAACAACAAATATTTACTCCATGCTCTGTTGTTTTTGCATCTTTTCATCTGTTACTACAACTGACTGGCTAACTAGTCACTTTTTATTTATTTATTTATTTATTTATTCAAACACATAAATATTGGTACAAGAGGGCACCATATATATATATATATATATATATATATATAATTCCTACTCATCGACTTCTCGTGGCGGGGATGTTGTTTATGAAAATGAGAGGACGAGAAGCGAATGTCCGGCGCTTTAACCGGATCCCAAACCAATGGTGCACGTGAGCTCCAGTATCCTGCGGGGACAAATGGCGTTTTAACCAATCGTCGGTCACCGGCTACCATGGGACTGCATCTTCTCACGATGCTCCACTGCCTTGTGGGTCAGACCTTTAGGTCAAAGGCTCGGGGTGTGACCCCCTGGGAAAACCACCTGCTTCGGTCTGGGCACCCGGGCAGTACCACATCCCACACACAAATATGATGAAATGTCGTTATTTATGGAAAATACTTTTCTTGCTTCGATTAACAATCAAACGATTCACGTTATTATTACTATTATTGTTATTAACTAGTCACTCAAAATGCTTGACGCGATTATAATGTATATGCCTTCAATCCATGACAACACCCATTTCGGATGGTCCAATAAATTTTATTGAATTATTTGTTTGCTTACATTTGTTAAAACATCTGTTTTAAGCCTTCTGGTGTCGTCAGCACACCACCTCATTCACCGATGGAGATCATCCAGGATACACCAATATTATCTCCGAAAACACCTCTGGGGACCAGAGAAAGTTATAAAAGCTCACCCCAAATCAATGTTATCTCGGAGGGTGTGAAGACAACTAGTAATCAAACGTCATCCATGGTTAGTCATACTTTTGTTACTGAATTTAATGTTTTTATGAAGCATCCCTAGTCTCTTTTCTAGTTTTTACTTGTGAAACAAGTAACTTCTTATACATTGTCTTTGAAAGTTCCGTTCTAGTTACTTATATGGAAAAGATATAAGGTTAATTATCACGACTATTAAATTTAAACAACAATAACTACATAGAAAAATCCAATCACCCTTTTTTCAGGTCCCCTTCAGCATGCTATCGTAAATATGTGTTTTACCTGCAAAGAATAGTTTTGTATACTTGACTGTGAGCTACGCTTCATTTTAGAGCCATTCAGATTACATGGGTGCTCAGACAGAACTATGTAGAGCGTAGTTCCAACTTAGTCGGAATCTGATCACCTTGACCTTCAAGTAATAGCTTCACTCTAGCGTGTTACCCTTTGTGAAGTGCTCTCTTATTAGTTAAAGGCACTCAATCTCAACTTGTTCTGGTCAGTCAATAGTAGTGTTTGTTAATGAAAAGCTATATTTGTAAGGTAATTGTGTTTGTTGTAGGTGTTTATCACCGGATATGCTTTGAGTAAATTGTTCGTAGATCCAGCTGTTCCTTTTTTTCATCATCATCTACTCTATAACATTTATTATGTTTTATTAGGGTATACATTAACACTATCACCTTTTACATCTCTATTGTCGGCTATTTAGGTCGAAGCGTGATTAAACACGTTATTGTGGGAAATTCGAGGCTGTTTTTTATTATCGAGTTCATTAAATTCACTCACATGTCTATGATTAGACACAAAGTGCTGTAGTCACAGACGAATATAAAAGGAATATAGTCTTTTCGGTTCACGTACCAGTTTGACAGGCTAAGATTAATTCTGTGATAGATATCTCATATGGATTTCCATTTGTTTCAGGCATTTAGCTTTTTCTCCGTATATGTAATCTATTTTTAGTTTCTGTCACTCATGAAATACTTATATTGTGTAAACCCTAACAACGTCTTACTATTCAAATGTATTTTGATTTTCAATAACGTAAAATAGGTTAATGAATCTCTTAATGATAGCACTGATACTGCTGTAAAAGATCGAAAGCATTTTTGGGCCTACAAAGCTCGCGATGGTCCTCGCAGTCTTGGATCAAGAGAAATTCCTAAGGTTAGTCCTCTTAATTTGATGTAAACGGTCTAAAACATGATACAGTTTATTTTAGCTCACAATCAAATGTCATTGGTGTAGAATTTTTCATGTGGCGACTATATTTTCAGTCAATAATTGGTAAAATTAATTAATTTCTTTAGCTGGTGTAACTAGTTATTTGTCTTAAGGTCAGTTAGAAAATAAATGTGCTGTACACTAGTGGTCAGATGACATTGAGAGATCAACCTTACATGGATGAGGCAGTTCATAGAAGTATAAGGTGGGTTTTGTTGGGTCCATGAGATAGTAATATATGCCTTAAAAGTCCTAGTGTTATGACACTATACAATCATGTTAGTATGATTAGTTGGACTGATTAAGTCTTTGACGAAGCAGACATGAGCAACGTAGAGCTCGATAAAATTATCAATGTTAGCTGAAAACCCTTTACTAACATTGAAGGAAGTAATTAAAGAAGGAAAGCCATAAAAATGAAAATAATGATAAAACGTACCCTAGATTTACTAGACAAAGTCTAAGAAAACAGTCAGAAACAAAACGTACGGCATAAGATTAGTTGAATTTTTGAGACTTATCAGTCATGTTATTTTGAGTTCACTGCAACAAACAACTCAGTTTTGACGATTTCTCTCCTGCTAGCCGTAACCAAAAGATTCCGATTTCACTGAATTTGTGGCATATCTTAATTTAACTATCTTTTAAGTTATCCACTTAATATTATATGGGTTTGGGCTAAACACAATTATTAGGTATTAGGTGAAAAAAGCATAGTACGATTTCAAATCCTAACCGATATAGCGGTTGAAAGAAAATCTGGCTGTCCTGTACAGCAAAGCTTTTCATTTCTACTCCAGTTTACGTACCTCGTTGAGGAATGTCACATTAAGATGTTAAAAGCTGTCCACATGCATAATTGCTAAGCTATAACTAATCATTTTCTGTAGTGTGATATTTAATAATTAAGTACAGATTTATTTACTTAGATGCGTGTCTCAAGCTTTGTATAAAGCTGTTAATAGTGTCTGGGTTTCCAAACAGAAGTAACCGGGATCTTAGTTTAGATTTATGACTTACTGTCTGAAAGCTAAGTGCTTTATTCCCTAAGCCATCAGGAATTAGTGGTTGCTTTGCACTCTAAAGGTGATCGTATATAGATTTATACAGTATGGACAAGAAACGTGGTAGTGGTGGTATTTATGCAGAAAACTAGGGATTCTTATGACCAGACAGGTAGTTTATGCAATCCTTTTTAAAATCAGATGTCTTTCAGTTTTTTCGTGATTTTTGATGGTTTGTTTGAGTTTATCAAGTACAATAGTGGAAATGTCTCTATGAGACGACATTAGCGAAATGAAATTATTGTTATACAATTTCCGTTCCAGGGAACTCCGGATTGTTTAAAGGGACTAAACTTTCTCATCACTGGAATACTAGAGTGTATTGAACGAGAGGACGCCGCAAATCTTATTCAGAATTGTGGTGGAAAAGTTTTAAAAACATTGGGTAAAAAGACTGATTATCTCGTTGTCGGACGTGAACCTGGTGCAGCCAAAATCGAGAAGGTGGGTTTTAAATCTATATTGTACCAAAATATAATATTGAATAAAGCCTTTAATAATAATAATAATTGTTTATTTATTAAGAGCAAAACACTAATATTTGCTAATTCCCACCTTTATTTTTTTTATTTTTTCACCAGCTAAGCTACTTATTTCCAGCTATTTTAGTATAATCTTAACTCGGCTACTTATAAGTAGAAAGGAATAGTACTTTTAAACTGTAAAATTTTATATCTCAAGTATACCGTTTAGTTAGTCTACATTGAGGTACGAATATGTAATTAGGTCAACTGCTTGTTAAATTTTAACATTGGAGAAAGATTGAATGGTATGATAATTACTGATTTCTATAGCCTATGCATATGAGAAGAGGGCTTCCACTTATTTTAAGCAGGACCAAATTGTATCTTCTCATTAATGTGGTTGTTTAAAGGAATCTCTCAGTCTCACACTTTGTTCAGATATTCCACGTCCCAATGTTTATTGTTTCCTTGGTTGTCCGACCTCTTTGATTCCAAGGACGGCTTTCACCATGCGCTGTCACATGTCTTATCCATTAAGACTCTTCTCTTCCTGGAACAGAGTTGAATTCACTTTTTGTGTCTACAGATTCTGTAAATTGATTCCTTTTTACGAAAAAGAGTTTATCACCTTACATCCAACCCTCTCTCTTTTCCCGGGCTTGGGGCTGTTAGTAGCCTTGCAGGTAACTTGGAACTTCTGTGTTTCAAGAGAGGTTTTGAGACGCTAAAGTAAAAGTAAATGCTAAATTATAGTTTATGCCTTCTGTATCTATCTGTCTTTCCCTTTATTATATTCCCACCAAGTTTTGTGCAATTATAGACGTGTGACTTCAATGGAGATGAAAAGTAGCGTGTTTAAAACCTTTTTTTAAATCTTATTAATTTTTTTCACCACACTCAAACACTTCAACAGTACTCATCACAGACAACCCAGATGTGCAACAAGGACATTCAAACACTGAATTCGAAGCAATGCGAGTCCTTTTTATGAATCATTACGGCAGATTAATTTTCAGTCTTTGTTAATAACTTACGTGAAAATGATAATCAAAAACAAGTGTAAGGATTTAAGAGTTTCGAGGTCAACATAATACTCGAATATGCTTGTAACTTTTCCCCGGCTCCAAAATAGGGTCTTTTATCTTATGAACTGTTGGGATGTGGGGATTTCTATTGCTGTGATCAACCACATGGGTCCAACATGTAGCTATCTTGACCAAGTTGTCCCCCTAAATAATCGTTTTGAAAGTTAAAAAAATAAACCTTGTTCGATAAAGTGTGTTTACTTCCATCTATTCTAAATTTTTCACATATGAACTAATTATATTAGGAAAAACTGTCTTACAAATGTGATTTTGTATTAAAAAAATGCATAAAGTGCTTTAATCTATCGATAATAATTATAATCATTTTCTACAATTATACAATTTACCACAACACTTCCCTGATTCAATTGATATTATCATCCTTACTGTTCAATTTCATATCAAAGAAATTTTGTCAGAATGTTTTCGTTTTAAGAGCAAGCAAACTATGTTTTTATCATTCACTTGAAAAGGAAAAGTGTCAAAGTTCATCTGATAAAGTCTGTTAAAAAAATACATATAATCAAAAAGATGACTCGTCACCTCGTTGGAAAAAAAGTATTTATCAAATTTCCGTTTAAATAAACTGACCCAAACTCGAATAAACGTCGTCATCTAGAAACCAGCACGGCATCAATTTCTTATGTCCTTAGTTTAATTATCATATATAATTCAGGAAGATCTATTCATCATTCAAAAGATTGATTAATTTGCCATCACTTTATCAAATCCAATGAATACTTCATTTTGAAATTTTCATACCACTTCTGAGTATTATCATTACAGTTGTCTTCATTATGTCATGTATCACTCCACTGTTGATTTTTGTAATTAGTATTAACTTTATTATTTTCTCTGTACTTGTTCCTAATGGTCTCTCTCTCTCGCTTATTCCTGTGTAAATTGGGCTTATATAATCGGGGAAAATAATTGTAGCTTTTTTCTTCACCAATATACTCAATCGATTCAAACACATTACATATAAAGCGTTTATAAAATTGATTCGAATATGAAAGATTTGATATATACAAAATAAATTAAATCCATTTTGTCTCACAGTATTTATTGTTCGTGTTGGTCAGTTGTTTTTGTGCATTTAAGCAAATGTTTATTGATAAGTACTGCTAATAATACATGATAAATGGGAGAAAGATCCAAAACCCCTTGAATTTCAATTATTCATGGATACTACTCATCTACAAACCACTACATATAAAAGACTAGTCTAGTATTGTGTTCACTGACAGATTAATTAACAACTGAAATGATTATTATCATTCATCGATGTTTATTGCATCTGGTACTTAGAAAGTAAAGTTTATTTATCAATTATGATCAACGTAGAACTCATAGTTAAACTGTTTAAATGGCTTCATTAATTTTTATTTTACTCACCTAAGAGTTGTTGTCTAGTATTTAAAAATATTTGATTGTCATGAATTCGAACGATACAATCGTCTTAAGAGTTTATGATTACTTTAAGTTCTGACATAATAGGTTATAACCATTTTGAAAAATCACTCGTACCTAATTACTAAATAATAACATTAGCGTAACTATCAATTTAACTCAGTGCTTTATATATTTTATCAAATCAATTGTAGTGTTATTACTAATTTATACTTTTTGGCTCAGTTATGATTGTACACCAGTTATAAACAAATCGAATATTAGAGTAGTGATGTAACAAAAAAAATCAATTACCTTTACTTAAATGAGTTCCTTTTGAATTCTGTATCTTAGACAATGAAGGACCAGAAAAAGTACTGATATTGTGTCTATTCTAATTATGTTATTATTTGTTTGTTTTACTGTAGTCATCACCTTATACAAGTCATTTGGTCATTCGTTATAACTCTTTAGGAAGACATTTTATCCAGTCATAACTGGAGCTATTGTACTCTTTCGATTCTGGGCTTCGTTATTGTTGAGAAGAACACTGTTAGTAAAAGCATGTATGACACTTGAAATATTTCAGTGGGAAAAATTATTTCTGTTAAACAGCACATAGTATTATTTATTTCTGTGTTTGATTTGAAATTGTTTTTCTACTCACAACTGTGTTCTTTTTTAAATTCGTGAAGGCTAACAATTTGAAAATTAAGCAGATTACCGAAGAACATCTCTTTGAAATGATAGAAAAGTCCAGTAATATTCCTCTTGTAAATCATAAATCGAATGTATCCAGCTCAGAATCTTCCAAGAAATTGGAGCCTGTAGATGCAAACGATAGTAAACAAAATTTAAAAAGTCCTAAAAAATCCCCTAAAAAGAATCAGTCTACCAAATCACCGGATAATGCTCCTAAATCTCGTAAACATGAATCTCCGAATAAATGTGCACGAAAATCTGTGATGTCCTCATGTAGTGAACTTCCTCTTACTGCACGTCCTGTTTTAACTAATAATTCAACATTCAATAATAAAACTGATCGAAGTCATAGCAGTGGTTTATCCAAAATTCCTACTAATGTCATCGATAAGCAAGATTCCCTGTCCAAGGAGATGAGTTCGAAGTTGTCTGAATTATGGGTTGATAAGTATAAACCAACGTCTATTCGCTCACTGATTGGTCAAAACGGTGCACAAAGTCCAGCCAATCGACTTTTAAATTGGCTATCTTCCTGGCACTCAAGTTTTTCAGCAGGTTTGTGGTGTATCAGTTATCTTATAACCTTTATAGTTATTGATTCTCTTTCAAACAGAAGTAATTCGATCATTAATGTAATGAATATCATTTCTCAATGTTATTTTACGTTACCTGGTGTTGCAAAACGAAAGTTGTAACATTAGGTCTGTAGATCCTTTTTTCCAGACTCTAACTTTATCTTTCTGTGTTCATGAAACGCGAAATATCAAGTGACATATATGCTGCTCGTTACGAACTTTATATTTTCATACTAGATTCATTAGCTGTTTTATTTCAAGCTTATAGCCTTTTAGTACTATTCGTATTGTCTGATGATTTGAAACTCGTTTGGTGTACTTGTGAAGCAGATTGCAGTCATTTTTGTATCGTTAAGTAGAACCTTTTTTAGTTATGTCATTGTGAAAATTCCATGAAATAATGTGTTTCTGCCATTCCGATGACGTGGTAAAACTGGGAACCAACTGTTCTTATATTTGACCTTAGTTTTAAAATTTTGTATGCTTGTCACTTTTCAGGTTTAAAAGCGAAGGCTTACTCAAGTGCCCCTCCATGGGGCCCGTCATCTAGTGATGATGGGAAGTGGGCGCGCGCAGCACTTCTTTCGGGACCTCCAGGGATTGGCAAAACATCAACCGCTATTTTAGTATGCAAAGAACTCGGTTATACTTATTGCGAATTTAATGCATCCGATTGTCGATCCAAGCGGTGTTTAAGTGAAGAAATAGGACAGTCTTTGGGTTTACGAAATTTGTCACATATGGCGTTTGGCCAAGGTATGTGTATGATGATTTTCTCCTATTTCATTTACCAGCATTTAGCGGTGATAGTTTATAAAAATCTTAGTATTCCTAAATGTTTATGTATACAGTGTTCGCATTCAAAATCATAGTAAACGGAATGTGTTCGAGTATGTGTTTCCATGACTAAGATCTAAATACTAATGATTTACTTACATACTTACATCTGTAACCCCTCGTGGAGGGACATAGGCCGCCCACCAGGATTCTCCATCGAATCTTTTCTGGTTGTCTACAGTTGCTATTCATTCTTTTCATGTATGCTTCTAAGATCTTTGGCCTCCCTCTTTTCTATTTTCTTTCAGAATTCCAAGTTAGCGCTTGTCTAGTGATGCAGTTTGGTGATTTTCTCAGTGTACGTCCTATCCACTTTCAATTTCTTTTCCTAAATCCCTCCTTCAGCTGGAACCTGGTTTGTTATCTCCCCGATAGGCTGTTGCTGATGGTATCCGGCCAACGGACGATGAGTATCTTGCGTGGACAATTGTTTATAAATACTTTTACTTTTTTGATGATGGTTATGGTAGTTCTCCAAGTTTCAGTTCCGTACAGTAAAACTATCTTGACGTCCGTATTAAAGATTCTGAACTTGATACTGGCTAACAGTTGTTTTGAGTCCCATATGTCCTTCAATTATAGGAATCCTGCTCTTGCTTTGCCTATCCTTGCCTTTGCGTCTGTATCCGATCCTCCTTGTTCATAGATGGTGCTTTCCAGATACGTGAAATATTCGACCTCTTCCAGAGCTTCTCCATCAATTATGATTGGGTTGGTGTTCTCTCTGTTGTATTTGAGGATTTCGCTCTTTCCCTTGTTTATGTTGAGGCTGCTACTACACTAGCTGTCTCGACCTGCATTTGTCCGTGCGTATAGGATAGAAGTGCCAGGTCATCTGCAAAGTCCAAATCGTCTAGTTGCATGTAAACTGTTCATTGTATTCCGTGCTTTTCCAAGATGTGAGGGTGTTGATGATCCAGTCAACCACTTGAAGAAAGAGTAAGGGGGAGAGTAGGCAAACTTGTTTGACTCCAGTACTCATTTGGAATGCATCTGTCAGCTGTCTTCCATGCACGACTTTGTAGTTTAGTTCATCGTGTTAACTCTGGATGATGCTGACGATTTTCACACCATAGTATCGACGAAGTTTCCATGAGGTTCTCCTTTCTACTCTGCCAAATACTTTCTCATAGTCAAGGAAGTTGATGTGTACTGATGGGTTCCATCCCACTGATTGCTCAACAATGATCCATAGTGACGCAGTTTGGTTTGTTCACGATTGATCGTAACAGAATCCTGTCGGCCTGTTGATCTCGGAGTTGGGTGTCTACTGATACTTTCATTCAGTTCAACAACCCTCTGTTAAAAACGTTTACTGTTACCGCTATTGGTGTGATTCGTCTGTAGTTCCCACATTTGTTCAGATCCCCTTTCTTTGTTATATTGATGAGGTATCCTTATTTCCAGTATGTCGGCACTTGTTCTTTCTCCCAAATCTTCCCGAATAAAACGTGTAGCATGTTTGCAGTTATTTCTATGTCTAACTTTAGTGCTTCGAATGCTATATTATCAGGTCCATATGCTTTCACACTCTTGATTTATTTGATGGTCATCCTGACTTGTTTGATCGTTGGTGGAGTGACACGTATAGGAATGTCTGTGGATGGTGCTTCGATGTCCGGTGGATTTAATGGAGCAGGTCTATTCAAGAGTTCCTCGAATTATTTCCCCCATCTGTTGCTCAGTTGTTGAATCTCGGTGATTGTCTTGCATTTTTTATGCTTGACCGGTCTCTCTGGTTTCCTGTATTTCCCAGACAGTTTATTCGTTGTGTGATATGGTTGTTACACATTTCCTTCTCTTACAGATTTTTCCGTAGTCGTTGTTAAGTCTTCCACGTATTTCTGCTTGTCGGCTCTAATGCTTCTCTTCACTTGCTTGTTTGCTTTGGCGTATTCGGTCTGTGCGTCGACTTTCTCTGTTCTTGTTCGACTGTTGTTGATTGCTGTCTTTTTGTTCTTCCTTTACTGAATCTAATCAAGTAATTCGATAGGGATCCATTCCTTGTGGTGATAATTCTTGTGTCCCAGAATCTCCTGACGCATTGAAGTTAGTGCTTCTTTGATTCCCTCCCAGTTGTCCTACATAGTGGTGTTTTCTTCTTCCAGTAGATCTTGTAAGGCTTGGGATCTGTTATTGAGAGTTATCTTAAGATCGTTGAGTTTGTCAGCATGTCGAGAGAAGGCTGTGTTGAATCCTTGTAATGCTGTTTTTCAGTTGTCTAGTGCTTTTTTACATTCAGTTTCATCTTGACAGCCACCGGTTGGCGTTGATCTGAAGCTAGCTATGTCAGCTCCTCTCCTGGTCTTCACGTTTTTCATTGACCCTTCGAATTTTTCAGTGGTGCAAATATGATCGATCTGATTCTCTATGGTGAGATCTTGTGAGACACATGTAGCTTTGTGTATGTGTTTGTGTGGTAATATTGTGCCGTATATAACCGTTTTTGCTGAATGCACATAAGTTTGCAAATCTCTCACCATTCTCGTTCTTTTCTCCCAGTCAGTTCATACCATCCCATGATATCTTGATATCCGGTGTTGTCCATCCCAACCCTGCGTCTAGTAAAACTGGTCTTTATCGTCTTCATTGTTATCACTAATGGGTGCATAACAATGGATAACATTCATTGTGATTCCCTCCTTTGTTTTGAATGATGATTTGATAATTGTGGATCCATGGGATTCCTATCCTTTATTGATTTATTTGAACACATAAATATTGGTACAAATGGGCATTTAATACATATGTGCCCCACAAGTCACCTGGTTTGTGTGTAGGTTGTGGTACTGCCCGTGTGCCTAAGTGGTTTTCATAGAGGGTCACACCTGAATCCTTTGACTTAAGGGTCTAATCCACAAGGCTGTGGAGCAACGTAAGGAGATGCAATCCCATGGTAGTCCGTGACCAACAATAGGTTCATACGCGATTTGTTTCCTCAGGGCCCTGAAAGCCATGTTCACCATTCGTTCGAAAATCAGTTTTTCAACTCCTATAAGTGAATGGTCTTTATCCACCAACCTGGTTTCAGCGCCGAACATTTGCTTTACGTCCGCTCGATTTCGTTAACAACACACCTGCGACGAGAACGCAGTGAGTAGAGCTTGCCTGGCAGTGGCTATATATGCGTAGCCATATGACAGCATTTCGAGAGGAAGAACAAACTCTCCCCACTATCTCTTGTTTCTTTGTTTAAATAAATAACTAAATGAAACAATCTAAATTTAGGACTTTCAGATCTTATAGTAAACATGAAACACTTCTACTTTTTTATCGTCGGAGATCAATGACTTGTAATTTGATGGTATGGACTAAATATATTTTTTTCATAGCATCAACATTAAATTCTGGTCGTCACGTTTTAATTATGGACGAAGTAGATGGTATGGCTGGTAATGAAGATCGCGGAGGAATGCAAGAACTTATTAACATGATTAAAATTACTCAATTACCTATTATTTGTATGTGCAATGATCGTCAGGCTATAAAAGTCAGTAATTTGTTTTGTTTTCATTTTCTTTTCTGTGTGAAATAAAATGACATGCTCTACACATGTATATATAAACAAATATTGTTTACTAACAGCTGAGAAATTTATAAAAAAGGTCATGATTCAACTGTAAATTTAGCGCTTCAATAATAATATTAGAGTATTTTGTCTTATTGTTCATTTTGTTCAAAAGCTGGATTAATACTTAAATTGTATCGATTGTTAATATGTATCTTTAAATGATCTCGGGGAGATTTTCACATTTGACTTTCCTCCCAGCATTTTCAACTCTGAAGGTATCTTTAACATATTTTTGAAGTTTTTAGCACACTACATGAGTGAAAATGCGCATATACAAGTTTTTGCTTGATTAAGGTTTGTTAGCTATAAAAATTAAAACTTTTCAATAGCTTCGGTATTTCTTTGTCGAAGCTCTAAAATTTTTATTTTCTAAGTCAGATTCCCCCCACACACACTTGATTCCCTCTGTTACAACTCATTTACCATATTTCAAACCTATATCATACCAACAACTTCCAAACTCCATATCATAACATGATTGGATAATCTTTTTATACACGATTGTTTTTGCGGCCTATTTATTTTTTATAATTTTGATTTTTAATTTCTCCCTTGGAGATGCTCTAACTAGACTGGTGAGCGAAAACCTAGAGTTATCTCTTATAATTTCAATTACTGAGATTTTTACAAATATTTATTTACGTTTTTTGAAGCTTCACCTATATACTCGGTGTCCAAATATGTTGTGAAACTAATCATTCGTTCAAATTTAGACTTAAGTTATTATCAAATTTACTTCTTGTTGTTTAAAATTATTGATAAGCCTATCTAAGCGTTTGACCACATGACAGAATTATGCACAAATATTCTGAATTCGGAAACTAAGATTTTGTCTGAGAAGCGGTCCGATTATTCACAGAAATATATCCAAATAAGCTACAAGCCTCTGGGGCGTTTGATTGATCGATGTAGATAAAGTGGTAAATGGTTCTTGAAATAATTACCGAAAGTATATTAACGACATATGATAGCATAAGTTACTGTTATTATGTGTCTAAATTCAACAACGACAACAGTAATCGAAAGGGCAACTGGGCACTCAAAATTTGAGGACTGTCACACTTAAAAAAGATTCAGTGATTCCAAAAAAACTAAAAATAACAGTCCAAAGTGTTTATAAGTCACGTCTATAGTTGAGTTATAGAGAACACGATATGTTATATACCCAAAATGAATAAAAGTGGAATTAACTACTGAATATTATTAAGTAGTATAACTATTACACCAGATTATCTGATGATAGGAATGGGGGTAAGTTGAGTAAGCTGAATTAACAGTTATAATTTTAAGGAAATTTTCCAGACAAGCTTATTAAATAATAGCAGTTGGTATTATCTTTATGTTTACTCTTACATTCTGCTATTTTAATTAGATACGCTCTCTGGCTAATTATTGTCTCGATTTAAGATTTCATCGTCCACGAGTTGAACAAATAAAGTCAGCAGTATTGTCTATTGCTTGCAAAGAAAATGTGAATTTACCTCCGGATGTATTAACAAATATTATCGATTCTAGCAATCATGATATTAGACAGGTAAAATATACAAAGAAACTTTTATCATTTTACCAAGTTGTGTTATTTTGTTTAGAAATCCTTTAAGCTATTTCTTCCTTTTTTTGGATTATCGCCTTCTTTTTTATGTTATGAACTTAAACGATCTGTACATAATTTGTTATCGATAAGAAGCCTTATTAAGATTAGGAGCTAGTGGTTTATTGGGTAAAGCATTTGACATCTAAACACTAGTTCATAGGTTAAAAGCCTGCTTCATCTACTTCAATTCAGGTAATTTAATAGTACTTCACTAACAACCTTTACACGTAAAATGGGATTTGAAGCCAAGTACTTGGATCTATGCTTTGTAAATGTTTCATTTTTTGTTGCATTAGAATAAGTGGGAAACAAATTGTAGTTCAAATGAGTCTGAAGTCTTTATAACTTGTTGTCCATAAGAGACATATTCTAGTAGGTTTTATTTAGATACAAGGATCTCTTCTTTAAAATGAGATGAAACAGTTATATGTACAAAGTGGATTATGACCAAGTTATTGTAACACATTTTATAATAATGTCATCCTGCAACATTTTACTAACCTTATTAGAAAGATGAGTGATGAGAATACATAATAAAGCAATTGTGTCAAAATTATCCACAATAATAACTGTATACGGAAGTTTAACCAGCGCAACTACAAAGTTGTATTTATTTTTTCTACGAACTTAAACATATCCACTTAAGCACTTTACATCAAGTTAGTTATTCATTCTAAACATCTATTTGGCAAGATGTATTTTCTAAAAGTGTGAACAATTTTATGATGTGCTTCACTATGTCCGAGTTATTCAATGCATGCAATTTTTGTAGTATTCAGTAAATGAACATTTCTAGCTTTGTCAAGAGCTTGAATTCATCGCGTGTTGAAAGTGTTTGTGTTAAATTTCACCTACATTTTTAAGAATAATCTTTTATAAATTAGAATTTTGGTCATAGCATTGTTTACACAAGCATATATACCTTACTCAGTAAGTTTATCCGCAACATTTCAATGTTCGGTAACTGTATGTTGTATCCACAGCACTTTCGTTCATTTCTCCTCTCGATTAGCCGGTTTGTGCTACATATTGCTATGCGATTTCGATCTACAAGTTTCATTCCAAATTCCGACTTTCACAACGTTTTTAAGGTAAAAATGGATGCTTTTGGCGCGAAAATAGTAAATCCAAATTGGCATGATAAAATCACAAAAATGAAACATTTACCAAGTGATTTCTAAGGATCTAGCATCTCCAACATAGTCAAACTCTTGAACAGAGATATTTGATGGAAATTAAGCTCTAATGTGAAGCACTGATACATTTAATCAACGGAAAACTGTGCGTAAATGCTATATATGACGTACTTATTGGACAATAAGAATGTTGCTGATAACCTAAGCTTTTTTAATCACAATTTTACTTTCACTGTTAATCCTAAACGTATTTTGTTTTTAGCAACAATGATAACAATAGATAATTAAAAAAACAACCATGTATACTTTGTAATTTTAGGTAATTAATAATGTTCAAATGTGGTGTAGCTCTGGTTTAATTGATTCCGAAGGATTAAAAGCGGATGCATTAGGTGCACGTAAAGATCTACACTTAAATGCATTTGATGTGATTCGTAAAGTTTTTGCACCAGATATTTCTGGTTCTCAAGGCAGTGTTGCTACATTCAATGAAAGTTTAGATTTATTTTTTCAAGATTACAATTTAATTCCTTTGTTTGTTGAGGAAAATTATCTTAATGTTAGAGTTCATAATACCCAGTAAGTATTATTGTTACTATCGTTAATAATATTGTTTTTGTATACATATATGTCTTAAAAGTTTATTTATTTATTTATTTAAACACATAAGCATAGGTACATGAAGGCACTAAATAAATATGCGCCACATAAACCATTCGATTTGTGTGAGGGCTGATAAATAACTCACAATGCCAATAACTAAATCTCAAAGAAATAGGTTTTAGAAAGAGAATCGCTAGCCGACTGACTGATTACATTCAAATGATTAAGAATATTTTGCAATTCAGGTTGATGCTTTTCGTAGTATTTTGTTATCAGAGCTAGATAATTTAATTGAAAAGTTTTCATTGTCGTTTTAGAAAAAATCATTAGCGTCTACTTCATCCAGAAGTAGGCTTTTCATTTTTCTCTCAAAGCCTAAGTCAGTTCATTCGGATGCTGTAATTTTTAAATGATTATATTCATAGGTTTCTCTATTGTCACTTGTTTGTTCAGTCCTGTTGAGTGTCTTCTTCAGTTGACTGTCATTCATATTTTTAATTAGCTCCTTCCATATGGTCGATAGACGGGACATATCCCTACGTATCTACTGATTGCCATTTGATTTGAATGTGTTGCCTATAGAAGTTCTCTGTCGTTCCTAGAATTCCCATTATCCAAAGTTGTGACATTTTCTGGGTCGGATTCATTTTGATAGTTGTTGAAGTGGACTAATATCAATCCTATCTCATCTTACCTCACTGTCAATATATTGCCATGTATACACAAATAAAGGGGCTCCTTATTTTGCCTGATTTAATGTTTCACCTGTGCAGTTTATTTGATTGTCGTGTCTTTAGGTCTGCATAATAAGTTATTGAGTTTTAGCGTTGGTCCGTTGGTGAAATCGATTCTAAAGGGTTCCGCGATCATTGTAGTAGTTTCTGAGATATTTCTCACACGCCATGGATGATAATTTTTGCTGTCGATAAGACAACTGTATTCCAAACGGGTCCTACAACCTCAACTACTTTTACACATCAACTGGAGTACTAAAGAGACAGCGTGAAATGTGAGTCAAAGCTTTACTCCAAGGCTAGTTTTTGTACAGAAAAATCGAGCGTATTTACCGAGTTACACACGACCCTGGGTTTCTGGTAATTTCTGGAGTTAAACTAAATTTAGTTGCAATATAGTTACATATCGTGTTATAACCGTGGCACGTAGTTCTGGATTTTCCAGATGTTTCCGAGAAACCTCCATCCAACCCTGGCTGAATCGATATTTCTTGGCGTTTCTAAGCCCCTAAAAACTTTGACGAGGGATACTTTGGGGACTTCCCCAACGACTGTATAATTTATTTCTTGGTTTCCAGGGTTGACATTTTGGTGGTACGTCTATTCACCAAACACTTTGATAAAAGTGCCAGGAGAGTTATTCTTACGGAAAGCAGACAACAGATGAGTCCTTTCAATTTTTCGAATCGTGAGTGCTGTTGGGATTTTCATACACGGCTTCTGTTCACAACTATTGTACCGTTACTATTGTAGTTTTTCATATTCGGAGACTTCTACACTAACATTTCTAAAGTTTTTGTGTTTGCTCTGTCAAAACATTCATGGACGAGGTTTTGTTTTCTGGTTCTTTTTTTCTGGTAGTTTTGATATCACCGAGGAAGTTGTTCCATCAGTATATGCATATTTTCAATTTTGTGAAATAATACCGTTATGTAGATGGATATTCAACCAAATTAGTATGACTGCCAGTTATTCGTTAGTTAACGAGTGAGTAGACAAGAATATAATTAACTGCCACAAATTAATCAATAAGTCTTCACTTTAAACAATTTTAACACTATCCATCCCATTGAATATTATAATATTAGGTTCAATCAGTTATCTGTTACGAATCAAGTTTTTGTAGCTACTGCAATAGTAATTGTACGCAAAAAATCAATTTATCTAACCATAATTCAACTGGTTCTTTTTGATACCTCAGCGTTTTGTCTCTCTTACTGAAATCGACAGAGGTTCTGTATTCTCTGTAGTTTTGAGCGGAAGAGTCATCAGTGAAACATTATTTTTAAGATTCAAGCAGTTTATTTGATGCTTCTCGATTTTGGAAATTACCATTCTTAATTATTCAAGGAGATTAGTGTTCCACATTCTGCTCTCATCGATACAAATACATTGATAGCGAAGAAGTAAAAGCTTGGGTAGCTGTTGTAACATCCTACCAATATGAATTGTGACATTGTTATTTTGAGGCGTATCGTCAGTGTTAAATGTATGAGTGTAGCCTTTAGCAGTTTGGTCGTCTAGGTAGCACCACTAGCCCTCACATTTATAGTATCGTTCAAAAACAACTGTATGTAGTGAGTTGCATTAAACTAATAGACACATAAAATATTATTTTATGAATTATTTACGCTTGCTGTATATATTGTAAGAAAGTAAGGTATGGTTTGTGACTCGCACATTTTCGTACTGTTTATATTTGTATTAATAGTGTCCATCGGTTCGTTCGTATGTAATTGGTTAACTTTGTTTTAGTGACGATAAAAAAATTTTGCAATTAATGTCTCAAGCAGCGTCTGACATCGCCACGGCAGATATCATTTCATCTACTATCAGATCATCACGTACGGGATCATGGTCTTTATTACCTGTTCAAGGTGTGTTCAGTACAGTTTCACCTGGTCGTACTCTTCGTGGCTCTTTACCTGGTGGCCCAGGTGGTGTTTCATTTCCTTCTTGGTTTGGTAAGAACAGTACACAAAACCGTATCAATCGGACTACTTCGGAATTAGCTGCACATTTACGATTAGCAACTCATTGTGGTTCATCAAACCCGCTTACATTATTGCTAGATTATGCTACACCAATCTCTGAACTTATCACTCGTCCACTTAAAGAAGGTAACATTGTTACAATTTTTTTAGTATTTGAAATGTTTTGGAAAGGAAATCGGTCCAATAATAAGTGCGCGTGATTTTCCAAGAAATAACTTCCATTTCTAAACAATTGGAGAGATATTTAAATTTTTTAGGTAATATATATAGCACTAAAAAGCTGTGTATTTCTAAATTCTGTAAAAAAGCTAACATATTTCAGTAAAATGTTAAGGTTTCAAAATTCATTATGAAGGCTATACTGTCTAATTTACACCAAGAAAAGTTTTCTGTTTGATAGATCTTCAAACAAAAGTTGAGGAGTTTGTGTAATTGTGTGGAAGTTCAACCCATCTATCTGTGTTGTATCATCTAAACAGCTAGCGATAAATTCAAAAACCTAATATTGCTGATATTTTTCTCATGATTCATAGGTTGCTCAAAAGTTGTACTTTCCCAAATTTTCAGTTCAACGAATACCTCATGTTACTGTCCAAACTAAATTATAAAAACACAGTATATTGCCATTTTATAAAGCTCAATAAGCAAAATTAATTAGCCTGTTGATTAGTAACGAACTTTTATGCGTCATCGACGCAAGCTTTGGAGATAATAAGTTAGTTGGTGAAGCGATGGATCAGTTTTTAAGGGTTTTAGCTTTCAGCCAATAAGTTTGAGGATCGAATCCCTATCCACGTACTTTCGTTTGAGTAAATGGACAGTGTCATTAGCTTTAATGCTTAAAATGTGGTTTTAAGCTAAGTATACGAATCTGTACACCTGATAATTCAGTTGATAAAAATACTGGTAAAATTAACTAAAAGAGAGCTTACAATGTGAACCATGTAAAAATTTAACCAATAACATCAAATCATTTACCGGGCGCTTAAGTGTGAGCCCGAATTGAAGCGAATCGGGATTCGAACCTGGTAACAAGTAGCCGAAAATCGAGTGCCCCAACCAATAAGATAACTCATTGCGTTGAGTGATTAACATAATCTTCGTCCTCATTTTACATTTTAATCTAGCCTTTTTGTTTACATTTTCTTTTATATAAGACTTGTAATAGTTTTCGAAATTTTCTCATTTAAATCACCATGTGTTTTCTTATTATTATTAAAGAAAATACTTGTGTATTTATTTCAACAACTGTTTGTTTAATTGTTTATATTTAAGGTGATATTGACAGTGCTATTCAATTTCTAATTAATTATCAAATAACAAGAGAAGATGTTGATTCTATAATGGAATTAACTACTTGGCCGAATCGACCGAATCGAATGCTTAGTGTTGATTCGAAAGTAAGTTATCAGCATACATATTGACAATCTTTTTTCATGATGTTACCCCCTTTTTAAATAGAAAAATTAGGTTTTCTGACGTTTCGTGACTTAATGCAAGTCACTTCTTCAGAGAATAAATAACCAAATTAAAATTAATCCAAGTTTATATATATATAATACTACACTAATCAATATAATTTATGAGATTTTAGTATTAATGCAATATGATTATTGTTACGTCTTTATGCCCAGGTTAATTTATCACGTGATACGATCGCCAATTAGAACACTAACTTACTGACCAGACCAATAATGCATAAACCATTACGAGCAGTCCGGCGTGAATTTTGAGTTCTTATTGATCCACTAAGATAGTAGCTCCTCGTTTAACCCAACTAATTTAGTACAAAACACCAATATCAGTCTCCGTTATACTGATCATATATTTCAGACACAAAAGGTTTATGCACAAACAAACCAGATCTCATCGTATCATAGAACAGAAAATAACAATTATACAAGATCAAACTAAAAAGTGGCTGTAATTGTAATAGACTGCTACTAATAAATTGGAAATATCTTAGGAATAGTAACTCGTATAATAGTAGTCAATAGATCATATAAAAGCTCGTAATAAATGGAATATGAATATACATATAATATAGTTACTTAAGTTATACAATAAGAATATGTATAATAATAATAATCCATATAAAGATCCTAGCGGTTACTATTCACCTTTTTTATCCGGATATAACAATTATACCTAAGAAATTTTAATGTTAATCGTACGGATTGTGATTCTAAGGTGACTGGTATATAGTCAGCTACAATAATAAATGACATGAGCATATATATTGATGTAGCAAATGGGTTAGAACTTCGAAAGATGAACTCATTAAAATAATAATTATTAAAAATCAGATGATAAACGAGTTCTGTGTGTAAATAATCAGTTTAAATAATATATATATCTAGTAAAGACAAGGTACAAAAAGAATGTCGATTTATAAAGGGTGATAAAAGCTGATAAAATTGTTTATCAATTCCTATTCGACCAATGAAAAGAAAGTTTAGGGTTTTCTTTTAAATTCAGAAAGGGGTTTTATGGATATTATAGTAATTTTTTAATAGTTGAAATCATGAGTCAATTGGAGCTAGACCACCATGAAAAACGTAGGAGCACTGGACGGCCGTTTTGTCGTATTTTGGGAATGCTCAGCAGTGCGCATCCACGATCCTGCCTCGCGAGATTCTAACCTGGGACCTATCAGTCTCGCGCGCGAACACTTAACCTCTACACCACTGAGCTGGCATCCAACGGTGTTAATATCTAACTTCAACTAATTCATGAGATTGAGTGACACATTTACCATTGTCTTCAGTGAGTTACTACCTCACAACAGACCTGGTTGAACTCCTGTTATCACTGCTTCTCATTAGAACTCCAGGAAATACCTCTTGGAGACAGTCACCAGTGAGCATATGTTAATCAATATCAGTAGGGATTTTGTGTATATTATAGTAATTTTTAAGGTTTTTTTAAACTTGAGTCTCTGTAGTTTTTGGTGTATATAAGAGATGACAGGATATTATTGTTCGTTTATGTGTTGATTTAATAATAATACTTTGAACTTGAATAATTGTGGATCTAATAATCTGTTGTTTGACTAAATTCTCTATAGCACCGCCTTGGTTATAATCAGATCTCATAAATAATCTTATAGTGTAATTTATGGCAAATGGATGTTTTCTGTAATGATTTGTAGTTATCCGACTAAATACCATATTTATTGTAGATTAATGAGAGCAAAGAAATGAATCATATAAAACTTCCTTGTTTTTAAGAGTTAATATGAAATGAAATATGACATTCATTAGGGATTATTCAAGCTTCAAAATAGGCGATGTTCATATACACCTGTTTTGAATCGTTGATTTTTTTATCATTAAGCCCAGAAGAAATTAATATGATCAACTTTATTTTAATAGTCATCAATGTGCTAATGAAAACGCTGTTAGAAGAGCCTTACAAATATCCTTCGTCAAAGTCTTTAGGGGCCCAGAAACAGTAGGAGCCACTGATCCAATCAGCGTTGAATGTAAGCATCTTGGAGACATTTAGAAAATGTAGAATTACGTGCCACGGTCCTAATTGGATATTTAACTATACTGCTGCTAGATTTAGTATGGCTTTAGAAATTGCCAGAAACTCAAGGTCGTGTATATCTACAAATACTATCGTTTCCCTGTCAATAAACTTAACTGTAGAGTAAGACGTTCTTTCTGCACGTCGTGCTTTTTCTCTTGTGTTTAAATTCCCGTGAAAAAATAAACTTAGAGGTTACTGGTAGCGGATGAGAAATCGCATCGATTGTTCATTGAGCAGACTTACCACACACATATATAGGTTCTAATGTATCATATAAACGTAACAGTTTACTAACTCCTTGTTTTGTTAAGATTGTATCAATCGTTAATAGAAACAAATTTTTGTGTAGAATTTTTACTCCACACTTTTTACTTGAAGAATGAGATACACTGAAATTCAACGTAAATGTTTACTTTAATTATGTTTTTATATCTGCTCGCTTTATGTACAACTTTAAAAGTTTATTTTGACAGCATTGATTTGGTGAATAGAAGTGAAACCGTTGTTGCTCGCATTGTTATTGTATTTTTCACTGGTTTAATTAATCATGTTACTTCTGGTATTCAATACATAGGGATATAATTCTTTATGAATCCCGGTCTTAGTTAAGTAGAATACCTCCAGTTGTTTTTCTTAGTGTTTCTATCTTCTGAAATCTTTTTCTATCAAGATCAATATGATGGATTTAATGAATAAATGATCAATTTGATTATATTAATTTGAAATAATCAGTTTGTTTGCTAAATGTGGTTAGTATGATGAGATGTGTTTTTTTCAGAACAATACATTTCTAACAATTATGTTTGATGAAAATTCAGTCATAAACATCAACAACATGATAATCCAAACTATTTCAGTTTCAATTAGAATCTATTCGTGTTTCATAAGCTTGTGAGGTATCTTAACTCGGTAGCTCAGTGGATAATGGATGGTATGTGTAAAACTGAATGGTACTAGTTTCAAGTACTAGCGTGAATGTCTACACTGAGATGCAAGTATATACATGGATTAGTTCTGAATAAGATGAAATGCGTGTCTTGGATTTCATCACTGACCATATTCCCTCTTTTATGTAGGAACCTATTTAAGGTATTTTTACATGTAAAATGAAACGTAAAGTGAGGCAAATTAAAATAAAAGACAAAGGAAATCTATAAAATAATGGGACTTACATCACTCTATATAATAAATCATTATTAACAGGGTAAGTTTAAGGTGAGAACAAATTGTTCTTCAACACACAGGGAGGGGCAATTAAATTGTCATGTAGCTACGGCTTCAATCAAACAGTATTGTTCTTCTGTCCATATCTTTAGAATACCACAAAGATTTATTGAATGCCAACCCTATGACAATCTCTAACTAAATGTTTCGTAATTGAACATGTTTGACTACATATGTTATTTAGTCAAATGAATTTCACTGTCATATCACTTGCTTATTATATTATTTAGATAAATTAATTTCTTAACTTTCGTAAATCAACTTTCTAACTGTTATAGTTAGCTCATTTAAATAATTTATTATTAATGTACTCATTTATATCCTCTTTAAGGTCAAAGCTGCATTAACACGTACGTATAATAAATCATCGCATTTACTACCGTATGTCATCTCATCAAGTGGTTCCTTTAAACGTAAACGTGGTGGTGGTGCTCCAGTTTCATTTGAAGGGGAAATTGAAAATGATTCTGGTCTATTCGACGATGATGATGAAGAAGAAGAACAGGAAGACGAAAAAGTCGACCTGAAGAATGATGCCATGATTTTAGTATGTTGCAACGATTGTCCATATAAGAATTTATTCCATTTTGTAAAGAATAATATTATATCTTGTGACTATGAGGTGAATATCTTCTACCAAGATGAGATCCATAGATATGTATGTTCATCTGCTCGTATATGTAAGGCTTTTAATTCTAAATTGAATAGTATACATCTGAATTCAAGATGTCAGTACTTTATATTATATTTGAATTGACATTGCTAATTATTGAATAAAGGAAAATGTCTTAAACAGCTTTAATAAATTACTTTTACCTTTGTATTGTTGCACTGTAGACATTTGTCTGTTTTGATTTGAACAATCTACATCATGCAACAATGTACACTGACATTTTCTGTTGTCTTCTGCTCACCGTCGTCATTTGTTTTTGTTGTGAGGGGCGATGTCCAAAATCTGATACTGATAAGCGGTGTGTTACGCGCCGACTCCCCAACTGACTACTTGAGTGAAAACACAAGAGTGAGTGAGAAACTGTATTGAACTATCGAATAAAATGTACAAATACTTATTCATAAATATATATACCACTCTAATCCTTAGGAAATTGATCCATTATTTAGCCAATGAAATGCCTTTAGGCCACTTCTGATTGCCATCGATTGACCTTCTCATAAGGCTACTTCTGATTGGCTCCCCATATAAGTATTTTTTGTTTTTCGTTGTTATCATACTTATATTTATCAATTATCTATCCTTTGGTTTTCCTTCTATATCTAATATATATATATATATTTTCTAGATTAAAAAAGAAGATCCAAAAAAGCGCATAAACACTGAGAAATCCAAATTACAACGAGGAGAGCAATGTTCATCTTCTGATAGCAACAATACAAAAGAACGTGGTCGAGGTCGTGGTCGCGGTAGAGGTAGAGGTAGAGGGAAAGATTGAAACACATATGCATACATTCATTCGCTTGCTGTTATTCTTACGGTTTCGATAGCATTTCATCTCATCACTAAACGCTGTACAAGAGATAAACAAATCTATTTGTTTGTTTGTTTTTTTTATTGAAAATAAGAAATATGTATTTTTATCTTTACCCTGCCATTGTTTATTTAATAGGTTCTATTTTTTTCGTAACTTATTGGGTTAAACTGCATTGCTCTATTGTTAAACATCAGATTATAGATTCAATAAATGTAATTGTATTATTTGTTTTTGCTCTTATTTCTACTAAATTTTGCTTGCTTGTACTTGTATGTTGTTGCATGATACTACAAATGTCATATCTGATCTGGCAAAATAGTATCAGGTGAATGTGTTTATTTTTGTTGTCTGTTCATTTATAGTCTTACGAATTCTAAGTCCTTTTAGTTTAATTCAAATCCAACCATAAGATAGTCTGAACTATACTATACGCTTCTAATCAGTAACTTATCCTAGACATGTAGTAAATTGATTACATGTCGATTTAGTTATCTGTTATTAGTAAGCTTTAATAACTATTGAGCTAATAAAAATTAGTGACCAATGTACACAATATCCGATCACTCATACAGTTCATTTGAATCTTCAAGCATTTAACTCCTTTTATTTGTAAATGTTTTAATCTTCACGTTGTTAATTTTAAGGACTATGATTGGTCAGTGTCTATTGGCATATGTACATTCTTAGCAGATTGTCTCGCTATTGCCGTTGAGTAACAAGTTTTTTTTAAACAAAGTTAGATATTGGGTAGCAGTGGAATCCAAGACGCGCGTTTAATCACATTTGATACTCTTCCATTGTATGTACTTAGATCCTAGTGTGAATACTTACTCTGGGACTTCAATTCAATGTCTTTCACTTCAAACACCTAATGAGTTATCCACTTAGCTAGTGAGTTCTTCGGGGTTTATTAGATAATACTTGTAATCCCTCTTGTAAAGTGACTAGTTTACTAATCGAGATGATTATTTGTTTCCTTTGGGTTTTACCACTTGATAGCTTATTTAATTTCATTAATCTACTTTTTCATTTTATGGCTCTACCACAATCAACAAAGCTGCTAAATGCTTCCTCGTTTGCAACGGCCATCTCACTAAAACTAATCCACAATTTAAACTGTGGTAGTCATATTTTTTAATACAATTCGTTCCTTATTATCCTATCAACTTACTCCATTATGTTTGAGAATCTTTGTTGTTTCAGTCGAATGTTGTGTGTTTAGTGCCATTGATGCTTTTACTTTATTTTTAAAATGTACAGATCTATACTACACAACTTTATGTCACATTAACTGTATGGGAGATGTAGTATTAACTAGCCCCCCCCTCGAGTAGAAATAGGCGGAATGGATTCATAACGGGTAACCTGTTGATCGAAAGCCGATAGCTCAAACTACTCAGCATCTACTATTGCACAAATGTATATGTTTATTGATTAAATCATATACAATATGTTGGAATAAATTTTCGTTAGTATAAAACAGAAAACTACTGGATTAGTATTTGTTTATTGTTTGATTTTGTGATCAAAATTCTTTAAGTTTAAGCTAAACGTATTGGTTCAATGATTAAAACATTCGATAATTGACTACTGGGTTATGGTTTTGAATCCCAATTCATTTACGGCACTTTAAACAGAAGAGGATTATTAATTGTTATTATCCCGAGAAATTATAGCTCAAAATTGAGTTTACAAATATTAACTTAGTCAATGAGTTGCTGCAAAATTTGTCAGAAATTAAAAAATCCTGTAAATATCTTTTTTTGTCATGTATTTTTCACTGTTTAATAGTAAGCATCTAAAGCCATCTTCAGTAGTTATAATATAAAGGAACTGGCGTTAGTTGGTAACGTTTTTGATTGGATATTAGCCTGTTATTGATTATGATTTACCATGAGTTTGCATACACAACGACTATTAATTTATTATCTTTCACGTTGTATACTTTACTAAATCGAACTAGTTATTATATGATTTCATATTAGTATGAATATACATGATTACTTTACTTTATCATATGACTTCACACTGTAATCTTGCGTTATTACTGTCTTTAATTTGACAAGTCATCTCATGTAAAGATTAAATGTTCGAAAAAATATATTACTTTTGTTCGAATCTCTCGGGGGGGGGCGAGATCGTGGATGTGCACTACTGAGGAGTCCCACAATAGGACGAAACAGCCGTCCAGTGCCTCAAGGTTTTCCATGGTGGTCTAGCTTCAACAGACTCATGATTTCAACCATTGACATTTTAAGTGTTCATTATTTAGAAACTTACATATAGTTGATAATATAATCTATTGCATGTTTAAGTAAATTAGACTGATCACGTTTTTATTTGCATAACTGGAACTCTATATTGATTGTTTAAAAAAGATGAATTTAATGGTTTATTGGTTGTGTCATTGAAATAGAAATTAATCCTTTCAGTTTTGTATTTTTAGATTCTTCAAAGTGTTTATCGATTCAACAAGCTTCAAAAATTCCCTGCTTATCTATTTTCATTCTGTGTACAGTTGACTAAAAGTGAGATATTTCTTGTAATATACATTTGTATCATCGTTACGTGCTTTCGCAATACTTACCTTTATGAGTTAGCTTCAGTATTTAAAAAAATGATACCAATGTAACTGATGATACGGATTATGCTTATTGAGCTACAATTTTCAACAATATAGTCTTCACATAATCACAATAGTAGCGTCAACACTAATTTCATTGTTTTCATATAAAGTAAATGTACATGGTAAATATGAGGTTCGAGAGTGAATTGGTGGATCAGTAGCTTAGTAAATATATTTAGCTGTGAGTTAGCGGATTTGAAATTTAATTCATGTACTCCACCATTTCGGTTTGAGTAATCGGTTAATATCATTAGCTGTAATATAATATAATCCGATTTGGTGTTCAGTTTGTAAGTTACGATATTCGTTAATTTTTACTATACTGTGAGATGGTGAAGATTTACTTAGGTGGGTGTTTTTGGTACGGTTTTATTCTCGGACCTTAATTGTTTAGTTGTGAGATTATCTTTTCCTTCTAGACAATATCATTAAGATTAAACGTTAGATAGAAGTAAACTATTCTGAGTTATTTTTCCACAAAGGGTGATAATGTCCTAAAAGACAATGAAAACTTCACTACTCAGCTCAGAATATTAAACTCCACCAAAATTACTGTATCGTTAATAACTTTTAGAGAGCAAGAACGAAGATTGGTGCAGAATAATATGAATTCATTTTATTTCATTAGGTTCTCATCAGCTGCTTACAACCTAAAATATTTAAAATTCAACATTATTACAGATATTGACATACTTATACATAAGAGGGTGGTTAAGGATGAATACATGTGTATCATGATGTAGCGAAGATTCCGATAGAGTTAATGAGCTCATAAAATGTTTGATTCGAATAAATAAATAAAGTTTGAGAGGGAAAGTTCCGGAACATTGAAATAGTGATTAGAACTCATGAAAATAGATTAATGGTAATAAATAAAATATGAATTGAAATCAGTCACTTATGTATGATGTAATTTAAACTTCAGAATGAGTTGGAATAATGACGCAATAAATAAATAAATAGAAATAAATGAATAAAAAGGGAGGTTATTGTTACCAGGGTAAAGAAAGATTTATTACTCTCTTTTTTTGTATACATAAGTCTGGTTTTAAACGTTTGATTGCTAATGCTTCAACAATTTTCAGAAGGTTGGAGCTTGGTTGTTTATTAATCACCTTGAAGGACTTCAGTGTATCGACGCCGTGTCCTGTGTCAAGAAGATGTCTTGCGATGACACTGTTGAATGCTTTCAATTTATTTGATGTTTAACTTTTCGGAATATGTTCTTTGAATCGGACATAGGCTCTCCATTCTGTCATTTTGGTCCTTTTTGAATAGTTCATTAACACGCTGTTAAATTTTGGTCTCTCATCATAACATTTTGTCATTGACTAACGCTAATGTTTTCTAAACTATAATATTTATCTTATTTATGACAATTCTTATCAATTATTTCCGAAAGTGTTTTTATTCTTTACCTTGACCTCCTTCTTACTCAGAACTGCCTCATTAGATTAAAATGTATTTCAGATGTCATATTACACGTTAACATGTATTTTAGTTATGACCATATTTGTAGTGTTATGTATGTGAAGGTGTTGTTAAATTAGATTATCATAAGTGGCATACTTTATTGTATTTCAGAAAGTTTAAAAGATTATATTAAATATTTATTTAGTGTTATTCCTTGGTAGTACACACTTCAATTTATAAAAGCTAATGTAGAACATGATCAGTAACTTTTCTGTTCACTTTCTTGATTCATTTCTATATTTATCATGGTTATATTTTTAGAAATAATACTTTCTTTATCGATCTTTCCAAGAATTATTCTCCTACTACGAAACTCAATTATCAACTTGGAGTACCCAGATTACACTTTTCTGTTTTTAAATAAAAGAGACGCTAATAATAATCTAACTTCCAAGCTGTCCGTCTTCTTAATTATTTCTTGTTGCGTGAATGTAATATCACGACTTTGGTTGATGTACGTTAGTTTCAGCTCCTACGTTGTTTAAGACTTGGAACAACTTAAAAGCAATCATTTTGTCATACTATGTAGTTGTTGACGTAAAGTACAATTCTTCATTTGATTGAAATCACGAATGGATTTGAGTTAGACAACCATTGAAAATCTAGAAGCAATGTGATGATTTAAGGTGTTATTCTTATTGATATATCTTTCCAACGGTAGATTATTAATATGATTTAAGTTGCTAAATGTCAATTATTGTTTGTTTGATTTAGATTAATAGCTGTTTACTTGCAATTGTTGTAACTGAGATTATGGAGAAGATTTGTGGCTCAGATGGATGATTTTGATGGAGTTTTGTTTTCTGAGCTGGATGGTTTGGTTGTTGAACCTTTCATCGTCCTTCTGGACGACATCATCAGCACAAACTTCAGATAGCAGTTAGATTAGGGCTGCGTGAGGAAATTATCAATATATATGTCGAATGAATAGTTGTATCAGGGATTGTCAAAAAAAGGATTAGCAATAGCGAACCTAATTTGAGTAAAATGAATGAATTCCCACAATAAAAGGTATAAAATTAGTTTGAAATTTAGGATTTCAGGGTAGACAAATAGTGAATGCATCTACACTTTCCTATTTATTATACAATGAGAATACAGAAAGCAGGTGCATCCATCTGATCACTCCCAAACAGGACAAAACGCGCGTTCTCGATTCCACTGTTAGCCACCATCCATCTTTGCTTATAATAGAAAGATTACGTTGCGAATGTTACCAACTTTAAAAAATGCATTTCTTAATGTGAAATTTATGTACAGTTAAATAGGACTAATAATTTAGTTAAAAAGTTGAGTTTAGTACCACTGCAAACACTTGCTTAAAAGTACTATTTCGTAGTTAATATCACCATTCACTTGTTGATATGTATTGTAATTATTAAATTATCGAATAAATCATTCAAACATTCATTCTCATGAAGTATTGAGAGCGGTAGTTTAAAATTTTTCCTATACAACACAAAACCCACACCAACTACTTCACCTGATATCGTATATGCAAACATATGATTCTCTTGACAAAATCTACTCGTTTCCAAACTACTTATCAAAATACCATAAAATTGTGAATATTTTCGACAACATGAACCTATTATATAATCGGAATAGTAGCTATGTAGTTAAAACGTTCAACTTTTAGCCACTAAAACTCATACTTGATAAGTACCCTGCCATGTCGCATAACTGCCTCTCACACTTGTGATGTGGCTCTAAACCAAGTACAAGAAAATGTCACTTAGTAAATCAGTCGACTTGAATATAATTGAGCTTTACTCAATCAATTCTTTTAGTCAATAATCATACTGTGTTGTTCTCGTCTTTCATGTAGCTAACAATATTTCGTTGTTATCAATGGTAGCTAATTCAAAACTGCGTATCGGTACACATGATGGACGATTCCATGCAGATGAAATACTTGCATGTGCAATGCTTAAACATTTACCGGAATACTCAAATGCTGAAATTATACGCACAAGAGATTCAAGTATTTTGTCAACATGTGATATCGTCGTTGACGTTGGCGGTGTATTCAATGCTGAAAATCATCTATACGACCATCATCAAAGGTTAGCATAATAATTTGTTAAGATTAATTCAGCTTTTTTCCTCTTTTCTTTAAATCTTACTTTTTGTAGAGAATTCAACCTTACTTATAAAGATTTTTATCCGAATTCTGATTGGGATATAAAATTAAGTAGTGCAGGTTTGATATACGTTCATTTCGGTCGAAAAATACTAAGTTGTATACTTGGTATAGATGAAAATACTATGGATCCATTAGTGACGGCACTTTTTGATAAGGTAGGTTTTGTACATTAAGAAATTGATTATTTCTGGATGCAATTTTCTTCCTTCAAAATTTGACAAAACATTTTCTCCCTTTATTTATGTTATTATAGATGTATAGTTCATTTATTGTTGAGATAGACGCTATCGATAATGGTGTTCCGATGGCAATAACACCTTTAAGGTTGTTTGAATTTTCAAATTGATATTTAATTATTTTGAATTCTAGATATTCTATGAATACATCTTTAAGTAGTCGAGTGAATCGTATGAATCCAGCTTGGAATCAATTGGATACAGATGAAACTGTAAGTTGATATACATGTCTATTTTTCTAAGATTACAAATGAAAGTCTACAGTATAATAATTCCAGTCTCAGAATGAACATAAACTCTGGGATGCAGACACACCTAGCTGACTAGTTTCATATGGGAAGAAGTGTGTGTCCTAGAGGTCTAATCCACAAGGCAGTGGAGCAACGTAAAGAGATGCAGTCCCATTGTAGTCGATGACCAACAACAGGTTCACACTCCATTTGTTCCCTCAGGATCCTAGAGCCCATATGCACCACTGGTTGGGAATGATGGTTTTCAAACTCCCTTAGGCAGATCCTCCATATCCACTAACCTGGTTAAGGCATCGGACATTCACTTTGCATTTTCTCAATTTCGTAAACAATAGTAATGCCTCGAGAAGGCAATGAGTAGGACTTTTCTGGCGGAGGCTATATACGCGTGACCATTTGAGATCATTTTCAGAGGGAGAGTTAACTCTTCCCACTTTCGACCGTACGAGGGCATTTTAGTAAATAACTTCATACCAGCTGAAAAATTTAATCTAATTTTCGCTACATAATAAACTTTCTTACTTAGTATAAGATTATAGTTAGACGATAACAACAATGAGAACATATCTGTAATCGTACTGCAGTATATATGTATTCCATTTTGTAATACATAAAGAAAACTATTCTTCATTTCAAAGTAAACATTATCTAACACTTAAGATTAACTTCCATTTTAATGGTATATCATGGCCCATAGTACGATAAAAGTGCTCACGCGCGAAACCAGTAAGTCCTGGGTTTGAATCTCGCGAGGCGGAATCGTGGATGCGTACTGCTGAGAATTTTCTACAATATGACGAAACGGCATTCCAATGCTTCCAGGTTTTCCATGGTGGTCCAGCTTCAACTGACTCATGATCTTAACCATTGAAATTACTATAATATCCACAAAACTCATCTGATATTTAGTAAAAACTGTAAATTTTGTAGGGGACTATCAGATTACTCTAAACATAATCATTTTTATATGATTAGTCTTGTTTTATACGATAATAATCATTTTTTGTATATGTGTATATCCATTTATTTTAGATTTGTTTTCATAATGCATTACAATTAGTTGATAAAGAATTTATTACATTAGTTCATTTCTATGCTGATACATGGTATCCAGCTCGTGAAATTGTATTAAATGCTGTGAAAAATCGATATTCCATTGATTCATCTGGTACAATAATTTATATTGAAGGTACTGGATGTCCTTGGAATGCACATTTTTTTGAAATTGAAAAATCTTTATTATTAAATAATGTAAATGTAAATGAAATTGAAAAACACAATCAAATTCTATTTGTTATTTATCAACGTAAAGATAGTACATGGACTATACAAGCTATACCATTGAATGAGCATAATAATTTTTCACAAAGGTAAGTTTTTATTTATTTATTGTGAAATTTGTATATTATAGTTGTAGTACTCATTAGTAAATAGTCTTTTTTAATGCGCATCCACGACCTCGCTCCTGCGGGGTTCGAACCCAGGACGAAACGGCCGTCCAGTGCTTCCAAGTTTTCCATGGTGGTCTACTTTCAACTGACTCATGATCTTAACCATTGAAATTACTATAATATTCACAAAACCCATCTGATATTAACTAGTCTTTCTGTTGTATAATTTCTTAGTGATCGGTTAATCGTAAACTAACTATTGTGTCATCAGTTGATACACTTTGTTTTTAACTGTTCATCTATATTGGACTAGTTGTTTTTTTGTACTTGGCTGTCCTGAGTTCATGGTTATTATTGAGCTTCTCACCTATAGCTAGAGATTTTTAAAAATCCTAAACCAATCATTATTTATTAGTATTAGAGGTTTGTACAGATTACTGGATGTCATTTATATCATATACCGATCTAATTTAGATAGCCACTGAAAACCGAAAAGCACTGAACATCTGATTCGTACTTAGCAATGTGTGTCGACCGAGGACCAGACTCAGGTCTCAATGGCGGACATATGACGTGCATTACTGAATTCCAGCTTAGTGGTTTGAAGGTTGTGGCTGCGTGCGAGACCGGGTTCGATCCACGGTAAGGTCGTTGGTGCGCACGGTTTAGGAGTCGCATACTACTACTCCTCAGCTGTCCAGTGCTTTTTGGATTTCAGTGAATGTCTGAATTAGGTTGGTTCGTGATATTAATGGCTATTTGTTAATTATGGCGTAATCATATATATATATATATATATATATATATATATATATATATATATATATATATATATATATATATATATATATATATATATTATTCCGGTGAATCCAACGTCATTTTTTTTTCGAATTTACATTATTTTAGACTTCCTCTACCTGAAAGTTGGAGAGGTTTACGTGATGAACAGTTAAGTAGTATTGTTGGGCTGCCTGATTGTATATTTGTACATTCTACTGGGTTCTTAGGTGTACATAAAACTCGTGACGGTGTTCTACAAATGGCAAGATTAACCATAAAAATGAAAGAAAATCAGTAACTTCTGTTCTCTTTTATCATCATCTATTTTTATCCTGGTTCCTAAAGCTAAAAAATACACGTATATGCTTTTTGAAATCTCCTTCTTTTCATCTTTTGAAGTATGATAGCGGGAGGGGTTTACTAACTGGATGATCGATCTCAAGTACATGATTGGAACAGTTACTTAATGGTTAAAGCAATTGACTTTAACTAAATGTTTCAACCACATTCTGTTTACAATGGCCTAGACAGTCGGATATTATCACTGAAATGCACACAATTCGTATTAATTATCAAAAAATCAATTATCAGATACATATTCATGTATTTTACATCAAGACACCCGTAGTGGGCGAGGTAGTGATACTTATCTGGTTGTTCAGACTGGACTGTGTAGGGCGTGATTCAAGCCTGTAACTACTAAGCTATCAACCATTAAGGCGACCAAATGAACCTGGAGTTCGTTGTCAAGCTACATTATTCACATAACTAGACGACAAGAACTAGAAAGCTGAAGATCTCAGTTGGGTATTTAAGTTGGCTTTTTCGTTTCACATCAAATTTCCTCAATATTGTGTATTTTGTTATCTATCCTGTAGTTGAATTAATTGTAAACACTTTTGTCTTAAAACCATTAAATTTAGTATCACTTAGTAGTATTCACAAAATCCGTTAACTCATAATATATGCCAACTTGTGTATATCTTTGGATATAATAAAAACTGCAACTTCCTCAATCTCTCACTTGGACCTGTGACAGTTCTTCAGGTCGAACAATATATGAAACGTGTTCTAATCGGTAGAGTATTACTATCTTCGTTTATTGTCATAACTACTATTAAAAGATTCTTCTCAGTCGTGAGCATATATCCAAACAATTTACAATAGTAAATTCCTTATTTTCAGTTAGAATTTGTGGTTGGATCGAAGCTAAAAGGGTCCATGTGACGATATTAGTTAAATACTGAAACTTCAAGTTATTACTCATGATTTTGAACTCATTAAAGTCGTACAATGTTAAATTATGAATGATTTTGGGGTTAATTTGTAATGATATTAGTATTCATTGAACATTAGACTAACTGTTCTATCGTATATACAGTGTATCCATACAAAAAGATGAAACCTAAACATAACAATAATAATGAAATGATAAATCGCATAATTACCGAAAGTTGTTTGCTTATTATACATAATTGAGCGATATTAAACATTTTATGTCATTTCTATATTTGCTAATATCATTGATCAAAAACTTGACCTTACTGAAACAGGTATTTCTTGAACAACATTGTGAAACTCGAGTGATTGTCTGACTATTGATGTTTTCTATGAAATTGTCTTATCGAATATGTGTCAGATAATCAGAACACTTGGAGAGAATAAGATTTGTAGATTTGTTCAGTGAGTACGTGATGCTGTCGATCGGAACACTTCAAACATATAAGTGTTTTATGATCCTTTGAGCATGATTTGCTTGGTATGTTTTGATGAAAAGTTATTTCACAAGGTTATCATGAATCTCATTCATATTAAGTGAACTATTCTATTAATTATAATAAGTGGAATGAAAAATATCGTGTGGTGAACAGAATCTTGAGAACTATAATTTACTAACTGATTTACTCGTTACGTACGATTAATGTTTGAAAAAAAATATGTAAGTGGATGACTATTTGGATGTGAAATTGAAAAGGCTTTCAAGTACTTATACTTGATCCTATGATTTATTGTCTTTTTGGTAAGATATATATTTGTCTCATTTGTTTAAATAAATTGTTCTGCTAGGTATGATGGGGATACACTATAGTAGCTGCGAAATAGTTTTTATGAAGAGAATGACCAATTAAGCGATTATTAGAGCTACAAGAACTGTTAGTCATCTATAAGCAACATATAATCTAGAACAATATTGCACCACTTCACGTCATATTTCATCAACACAAGTAGGTGAAATTGTCACGATCGATATCAAAGTAGAGTTAGTGGCAGTAAAAAATGAAATTAAGGTATGGAATAAGCTTAGGATTTTCGGGTAGAAAAAGATTACATACATTTACTCCATTGAGACTGATTCTCAGCTATATCACTCAACTACTAGTCGTCATAATCCCTCATCTCAAACATACTTGGATTGTTGCTATCAATGGTGTAGTTGTATACACTCTCTGTCTTCCCTTAAACTAAGAGATTAAAATCGCTTCATATCTTTCTACGTACTAATTCTTTCTTCCTGTACTATATCCTTATATGCAATCATTTTTTTGAAAATTTAACGTCATTGAATTAACTACTTCTATGAATCCGGTGTTCATCCCGCTGTGCTAATGAGGCATGACAACTTGGACCGATGCATATATGTGCCTGGTTCTACGTTGTAGCTAACTGACTGACTGCTATCAGAAAACTCCGGATTTTGTCAAGTTCTTCATTAAACAGGACGAATTCATCTGTATTCTAAGTTCTGTAATTGGAATTTCTCTGAATAGTTAGATAAAGTGCGATTTGTATGAGTACATACACCGCAAAACTAAGTAGAGGTAGAGAAACGAGTCGGTCTTGATTAGCACCACTTAAGATCGATCTCAGCTACTATTTGACCAACAGTGATCTAAGATAGTCTCCACAAATGACAAACATTACTGCAGAACCCGTCGATTAACAAAGTAAAATCCTATCATTCTGTCAAGAAATACCATTGTTGTCGAGGATATTAGGTAACATAACAGATAAGTCAAAACTGTCCCATTAATTTTTTACTGATGATATTAAGTAAGGACCATCCTGTGTTAGGAAGTAATTAAAATTTGGAATGTAAACCGATTCATCATGCATCATCCTTACTGTAGGATTTAAAAAGGCTGGGGTTTAATACAATATATGATTTACAGGTGCACACAACTGGTTTTAAGACGTTTCTCAACTGATCTTGTTACATGAGAATTATTTTCATAATGGATGAAAAACGAACCGAAACAAACCGTTTGTATAATTTGGAATGTGATATGAATTTTGTTATAACCGAAGATAGGGTTTGGGGTCCACGACTCTAACCTTCACTAGACCATTCTATGAGTAGATTGTAGAATCAACTACTAGGCTGAGTATTAGATGACGTAGTACACCACACTCAGTTATCTTACTGGCAACCAAGAACCCGAGGTAGGTTATAATAACAGTATATTATCACATACTCCAAATCAGTAAACAAGTGGAGTCAGAGTGGAACGAAAGCGAAATCAGTTCTACATATAGGATGGCGTATTATACTACATATGACCGGATACGTCTGTCTTCGCTTGTTGGCTAATCGCTGCTTACTTTGTCCAGCATATAATATTTAATACGATGTTAGCTTATATTCATCGTACGATACAAAATGAAACAACACAAAAATACTTTGGTCTTATTCACCCTAGCATACTTCGAATAGAAAGAGTGGGGTACAGAGATGAGCTTAAAGCAACCGCAAAAAGTTTTCATGCACTTCGCAGCCAATCAGAAAACATCCTTCGTAAATAAATATAGCTTATAGAAAACAAAACAGCAATACTAACAGTATAAACAGATTTTACAAAATCAATGGATTTTTTTAGGTTTACTACAGGTTACTCCTCTTGTGAAAAACAATAGCATGTAGACTTATCTTATGGACACAAATTATCCGATTCCTCGAATTCTTATAAGGACCTAAAAAGATTTGTAAAAGTACCACATTCTTAGTTAGAAATTTCAATAAGAGCTGACATCAGCCGCAATGCAGAACTGCTCTTTAATCATGTGGATAAATGCATATTTCGTAAAAAAAAACATGGTTTAATTAGTTTGCCATAAGCTATAGTGTCACCAGGTTAATACTTGTCTAAGTGTCTGGAGTTAAGATCCACGCATAGTATCAAGCTGCCTGTTAAACAAAATCTGCTTAATACGTCTAACATTAACAGGTTTGGACTATGGTGGCAAAATGAGTTTCTCATAATCATTTTAAATGTTTTGAGAAGCATACAAAGATATACATAACATTTGGATTTCGACCAAAAGCCTAAAAGTCACATTTTTTATTCTGATTGACTCATCCCCTACACCATACTTTTGGCTTTTATATCCAATATTCGAATAGCTCAGCGTATTTTTTGTAAATATCCTGCCTCGAGGAGTCCCAGAATGGGACGAAACGGCCATCCAGTGCTTCCAGGTTTTCCATAGTGGTCTAGCTTCAATTAACTCACGATCTCAACTATTGAAATTACTACAATCTCCACAAAACCCCTTCTGATACAAATTATTAAGTGATTATTTATCAGTTTAGTTTGCCTAAGATTGAATAAAAGAAAAGCAGTTTGGTAAGTAAATTTTATTGCAAAAGATACATAGTTTGATAGGAATAATAGTAATAATAACAGTACAATAAGAATAAATTACATTGTCTTTCTTTTTTAGACTTTAAATAACCCAAAATAGAAAATAATGATAATCAGAATTATAATATTGTAGTAGTAAATGCAAGAAGAAAGATAAATTGAATCTTGTATACAACTAGACATAGAATTGAGATAAAAATTGAATATTGAATCTCTTCTGGGTTCTACATAATAAATATACATAAAGTTAGTTATAGTTACTCAATAAAAGTTGTATGAGAGAGAAAATGATTATCATCTTCATTTTATAAAACGTTTATTTACATTGTTTAACTTTACGCTGCATTTTCATATACCAAGGTGTATTTAGATGTTTACGTCTCTTCTTCACGGTGTGATGTAACTGACGTGTTTGTTGCTCGGTACTTTGACCAGAGATATTTTGTTGTCGTTGTATATGATGTTGATGATATATGGAACTTTTCAATGGTGGGAATTTGATTTTTATACCTTTATACGTTATTTTATATTTAAAACAAAGTTAAAAGAAAAGTGATAAAACTAACTAACTAATCAAATTAATGAAGTGTTAACTAAAAGTACAGGACTTTAATTATCACTACTTTTAAACTATTACTGGGTTATAATTCGTGTATTTGGCTTCGATTCACACGGTAAGTATGAGTGTTAGCGAAAGCACTAACTAGCTATCCAAATTAAAATAGATGAGACGGGGTTGGAACCTAAGATCTAGAGTCTGAATATCGAACAAATTAACCACTAAGTCACTACTCAGTCAGTCAGCTACAACGTAGAACCAGGCACATATGTGCATCGGTTCAAGTTGCCATACTTAATTAGCACAATAAGATGAACACCGAATTCACAGAAGTAGTTAATTCAGTGATGGTAATATATTAAATAAAGATTGCATATAAGGACATAGTACAGGAAGAAAGAATTAGTTGGTAGAAAGAAAGATATGAAGTGATTTTAATCTCGTAGTTTAAAGGAAGACAAAGAGTGATAGATTCTGAGCCATTTCACCAAGAGTTTCCAACCATTGGTTACGATAGTCACACGGACCCCAACCAAGTAATCTGCATCTACCAACATGGCTCAAACCAGAGGTTATTGACTTGAAGCACTGATGCTAAGTTTTTGTTTGGCCACCCCTAACTTTCTTCCAACCATCTTCAACACTAGTTTGCATTGCACGTCGTGGTAATCGGTGTTCAGGCATACTACACTTGTATAAAAAATAATATAGTTTATAATATTGCATAAAAAAGCAGAGAGATGTATTAGCGTTAATTAATGACCTAATAAATACAATAATACAAAAAAATGTATAACTTATGATTAAAACTATGAATTTTATTATATGAATTACGACAATGTATGTAACTATTTGTACATTGACGTTATTTAATAAATAATTAATTAATTGATGACTATTTGTATAAATAAACAAAAATAATTGGTCACGTTTATTCAGCTTTTATTGATTTCATTTCACCTATACAGTAACCATTATAGAAAACTATAGTAAGATTATCAATGATGAATCGTTTCAACCATATTTTTGATTGAGATCTTGAACCAATTGATGTTAGACCATCACAATTGAAAACCTGGAAGCACTGGACGGCCGTCTCGTCCTATTGTGGGACTCCCCAGAAGTGCGCATCCACGATCCCGCGAGCGGGATTCGAACCCAGGGCCTTCGGTCTCGCGCGCGAACGCCTAACCAACTGGACCACTGAGCCGGCATCCAATGGTGATAGTTTCTAACATCAACCAATCCACGAAATTGCGCGACCAACTTCCATTGTACTTAAATAGATAACTGTCTCTACCCGACAAGGATTAGATCTCAATCAAAAACTTAATAATCTCCACAACCCCTATACTAGTAATCAACCATATTTGATTCTATGTTAAATTCAATATAAATATCATTCGATTTATAGTATTATTCCACAAATGAGTTATCTTTAAAGTATATTCCATGTATTTTCAATATCAAGGAAGTCATATTTAATTTGAAAGTTTCTAAGATACCATACGTGAAACGTGTTCGAAACATCAAAAATGGATATATAATTATTAAGTTACGATCTCGATTATGTTGGAATGCATTGGACTTTATTATAATGGGTATTACAGACATAGATGGTCAGTGAGAAAATTGTCTATCATCTACGGTATCAATAAACAAAATTTTAGACAGATAGAATAAAATTGATCATATTGAGGAATTGTGAATTCAACTAACTAACTTACATAATCAACCGGATAGACGAACTATCCAATTATTTCCGACGGCTCATTATTAAAGATAATTACAAAGCATAATTTTTTTCCTAGTGTTATGAAGTTAAGCCACATCTCAATATTAAAAAGTACATGTCATATTTACAGTCACTTTTAATCAGCCAACTGAGTATATTTCAAATAAGGTAATAAGTTCAAATACTCCAAAATTTTTAATACAGATTAGGATTTATAAAGATCTATCACAGAGTATTAAATGAGTTCTTGTTAGTATTAGAAGTTCTTCAAAAAACGAAAATATAGCTAACAATATACAACCACCGATGTAGATAAACTATAAATGAACCACATACAAAGTTAATCAAAAGTTAAGAGCATCATATTTATAGTAACAGAAACAGTATTGCTCCAGATGAAACATATCATATTCAAATTTTATATATGCTCAGAACTGCAAAAACAAATACAAAGAAATGACGGGATAGCGGCTATCTACAGGTTTCACTGAATCAACATCCCATAGGAACAAAAAATAAAATCATTTAGACTGCATGTGACTTTCTTTCGAAAAAATATCAATGCATTCAATACTATCGATAAGCAGCATACTCCATATCTGTAAAAAATTTCAGATAATATAACAATTAAAAGACTAAAACTTGACATGTATGTTGAAAAATGTCAGTAGTCAGTTTGCGTTGTATGGTACTTATGTGGACAGACATAAGTAGTATGTAACACCAATCAGAAGTTGAAGGCTTATCAAAAGAAGGTTGAGAAGATTTGACTGAAGGAAACAGAAATGAACACATAAAGCAACTGAGAAATGGGAGAATTACGAAGGACGTAAAGGACAATTGATGGGAGATTTGCAAATGAAGTATTTAATGTATGGTTTTTACATTTTACGAAAGAACTCTGTAACTTTTCACTAAATAATAAATTTGTTATTGTCAGAACAAGAGTTTGTGGAAAATGTAGTCATTTAATAGTTGAATTCATAAGTCCATTTAAACTAGACCAACTTAGTGAGTATATGTGACCAGTGGAGTCAAATCGTGTCAGTTGTGATGCAGTTACTCACTTAAGACAATAATGGACGGTCGCACAATATCATGGATTGGTTGAAGTTAAACATTAACACGATTAGATGCTGACTCAGTAACCAAGAGGTTAAGAATTCACGCGCGACACCCAAGGTCCTGTGTTCGAGTCCCGTATGCGGGATCGTGAATATGCACTGCTGAGGAGTCCCATACTAGGATGAAACAACCTTCCAGTGCTTCCAGGTTTTCTAGGGTGGTCTAGCTTAAAACGACTCATGAATTCAACTATTAAATAAATTGGTTGTCCCCACCTGAGTTCTCGTTCAATACAAGTCTTCCACTGCTGATATATATATATATATATATATATATATATATATATATATATATATATATATATATATATATATATATATATATATATATATATATATATATATAATTGTTACTAGACTGTCAGCCAAAGGTATCAACTTTGAAGGCTTACAATAACTTGTGGAATTCAAGAAGAGATCAAACGGACAAAGAATTGGAACTCAAAAAATTACTTTAAAACTAATCAATGAGTACATTACCATGAAATTTATTTACTTCAGTAAAATCCATTCTATTTCCTGGAAAAAATTCATGTATACATGATAAATTATCATATTGATAATAATAATAATAATAATAATAATAATAATAATAATAATAATAATAATAATAAAACATACAACTAACCCATTAATTGTGTTTTTCCTTTAGCTCGTAAATCAAGTAAATATTTAATTTCATGTTTAATTAATTCTTCTTCTAGAAAAGAAAATGAAGTAAATGACAACAACAACTTACTATACAAATTCTCCATAAAATGTTTCCCTTGTATACCAGTGAAATATCTTAGAAATGGTTTTAATTTTTCATTTAAATAACTGAAATGAAAAGAAAATTAATTCATGAAAGATATTACGTAAGATAAAATTTTAAGAAAAGGTAGACAAAACTTCAAATAGACTTCTATATTACTGAAAGTGTTAGTTTACTACACATGATCTTAGCTCAGAGAGCCGAGAAGCGTCAAAACTGACGGAGAAGATTTGGAAGATGTAAAAACCTTTACATATTTGGGCAGCATCATTGATGAACATGGTGGATCAAATGCACATGTGAAAGCGCGGATCGGTAAAGCGAGAGCAGTATATTTATAATTGAAGAACATCGTGGACTCAAAACAACTGTCAACCAACACCAAGGTCAGGATTTTCAATACAAATGTCAAAACAGTTCAACTGTATGGGGTGGAAACTTGGAGAACTACAAAAGCCATCATCCACAAGATACAAGTGTTTATTAACAGTTGTCTACACAAAATACTTCGGACCCGTTGGCCAGACACTATCAGCAACAACTTACTGTGAGAGAGAACAGACAAGATCTCAGCGGAGGAAGAAATCAGGAAGAAGCGCTGGAAGTGGATAGGACACACATTGAGGAAATCACCCAACTGTGTCACAAAACAAGCCCCCACATGGAATCCTCAATGGTAGAGGAGGAGAGGAAGACCAAAGAACACATTACTTCGAGAAATGGAGACAGAGATGAGAAGAATGAACAACAATTGGATCGAACTAGAAAAGGAAGGCCTAGGACAGAGTGGGATGGAGAATGATGGTCGGTGGCCTATGCTCCACTGGGAGTAACATGAGTAAGTAAATAACCAGCGAAATCATAGGTCGATTTTATGCTTTTTCAATGTTTAGATAGAATATACCTTTTTCCCATGTCATGTAAGTGATTAGTAACTGGCATCAGTTAGATTAGTTTAAAAATGATTCCTAACTTTGAATTATGAATATGATAAAAACTTTAAAATAATAAGCATATGTCTACCGAGAGACACTATTTTCTCGGGACGAAATTCTCATTTTTAATGAATGTTTGTGGACTGAGTTTTATTGTTAAACACTCTCTATCATTTGGATCAGCTGGTTTGGAATTATACTAACAACCTGACCTCGTTGATTGTCTCATTATTCATGGGTATAATTCAGCCACCTGATACGATATGTTGAAATATTTGTGAACTATGAAAGTGCTCAATGCAATCAATCAATAGGCAAGGTTATGTGACCTTAAATAATGTAAATATTAGATTTTCTAAAATGTACATACGATAGTATGAAAACTATTACCAATCTATAACGTGAAATAGAATGCTTATTCAAGTTGCCATAAACTGAAGTAATGATAATTGAATTCAGTAACGTTTGTGGGTGAACACTAACAGTGTTTGCCCTAGAGAGAACATCAATATGTTGTCATGATACAATATTACTAATTACAAACTTACAATCCATTGAAATCTTCCAATGAGTTTGTTGATTCAACTTTGTAGATATTAGTTGGATTTATACTTTTGGAATCGGTTAGCACTTGATTATTTACAACATTCGATGAGATATTGACTACAATTGGTGCACCTTTTATCAATTCAGATGACTGAACAATAAATGGAGCAGCAAGCCAACTACTTGGAGAAGGCTTTTTAGATGAACTTTTACTCAAAGATTCATTAATGTTGGATAGTTTTTTCATGGGTGTTATTTTACTATTTAATTTGTTGTGTGATATATTTGTCAATGATGGCGGACGTCCACGATGTTTACTTCTGGCAGGTTTATATTCTTTTCTAATGTGTTTTTCTACTACAGGGATACGTTTTTTTACACGTTTGTTCAGAATAAATGCTAGAATATGAGGAATCAAAGCATGCTCACAAGCAATTTCTTTGCGCCTTTGACGCTCACGCAACCTTTGCATGTAAATATTGACTTGTGCTACTTTTAAAGCTAAAAAAATATTGGACAATTACAAATATTTTAGTGAATACCAAAGTAAGTATCTGATATTTCGAGAAATGGCTAATACAGTAATAACTAAGAATCGAAACATATACCAATAAACCAATACCAAAAGTAATGAATAAAAATAAACAATATTAATTCCAATGATACAGTGACTTATCCTTCTTTGAAAAAAAAGATATTTTCTTAAAAAGATTATTACTGCTGAACAACTGACCATAGTCTATGAGTAATCAGTTGTTTAATTCCTTTTAGACGACCAACCGCCAGATATATATGAAGATAACTCGGTTTCATATAAATTTAGGACGATTATGTAAGCTTTAAAATAAGACAGATTCGATGAAAGTGAAATATCCCGATATCTTAGTTATTTTTTATAATTTGGTGTCAGAGTAAATCAATGCTAACTAGGGAAAGTGAGGAAATGATTCAGTAATCGAAGCATCCAACTTTCAATCATTATGTTAGAACCTCAAAACCCTTTTTAGTTTGGGGTAGTCGATTTGTATAATTGGTCTTTACAGAAAACAGTTTGGTTCTAAATCAAGTGTGAAGACCCATACTTGATCCGCTATGCATAACAATCAATCAACCAAATATGCAAAACTTACAAAATAAAGGTAAAATAATATAAATATTATGGTAGAGTTATGAGATCATTGATTAAGGGTGTAGTTTTCACTAATGAATCACAGGTAAGAACTCCGTTTCATCTATTTCGGTCCAGATAGTTAGGTGGTACAGATTCAGACATACACTACGCAGGGATCTATTCATAGTAGATGAGATGAGATTTACCCCACGATCCAACGGTTAGAAATCGAATCTCCAAACTACGAATTTCCACCACGCAATTCAATGAATTTATACTTTAAAGTATTTCTGGATAGGATTCTTTTTATCCCAGGTGTAAATTAGTTATAACTAGGCAACTAAAATAGCAGTTTTTATCAGGAGAGTATAAGATAATGTAACATTATGCCATTATCTACTAATTATTAAAATTTGGTCAGCTATTATACAAAGGATTTTAACTCCCTAAGACCTGATGATATCCACCACAAAATGAATTTCATTTACACAACATCATAACACGACTCAGTGATTGACATTTTATGTTGTCTCATGCAATGTCTAGTGGAGAGTAGTTAGTCATACATTCAAATGGTGAAGTGGTTGCAGCGAAATAAGTTATTTATTCATCATAAATAAAAAATTTATTAGGAAAGACTTCAATATTGTTATCAGTATATTTATCTTTTCTGAATTAAACGATGCATTTTAGTTTCCAAAATACAGATTTATTTAAGACTTGATTGAAAACTAAGTTTCCGAGTATATCAGTCTTTTGTACACACTAAAAAGTTATTAAAGTTTTATATTTTCAATATAACCTTTTCTCACTTATGTCCTTTTTCATGAAATATTATTATATAAATAAACGACAGTACTACCTTAATTGTTATACGCCCTGTGATAATTTAAGTCAATGGTGTATTTCTACACAAGAAGCTATACCTGTATTGTTTTACTCTCTTTCTAGTAAGATCATGACTTAGCCACTATTAATTAATGTTGTGAAATAAAAAAACAACGTAAAACTTGTATATTTTTAAGAAGAAATTAAATAACCAATTTTTATAAGGATGATGTTATTTTCATATGACATCAGTCCAATAGAGAAGTGTTCAAGTACGAATTCAATCCTTTATTTTTTATAGAGACGAATATCAGTTACGTTATCTGTTAATATGAGTAACCGATCACTTTCTAGATGCAATCTAAAATACATCTATAAGAGTGGAAGTGATTAAGAGCTTGATCCCCAGGTAATGAACTGGCAATGATCAACTGATGAACCAATATTTTGATTTTAAGGTTGCTTTCTGCAAACGACTTCGTTTGTAAATCCCTCGAACAAAACGTCAGGGTATTTTATTAGAGGTAGCCTGTAATTTGTAAACATCAAAATATCTTCTACTTTATCTAGGACCTAATCCATTATATGTGTTTCCCATAGGTTTGTACTTCGAGAAAATACTACCTTCCCTTTTCTAGTTTTCGGATCCTTTATTTTTTCACTCTTATTTGTTTCCGGTAACATTTCACTTGAATACCCTGGTACGTTTTTAGATGAGATAAAAAAGCCAAACACTAGGTTATATATATATATATATATATATATATATATATATATATATATATATATTACAGGAAGTTTAGATTTTGTCAACTAGGTTAAAATAAGACGCAAACAACTGGAATCGAAATGTCTATTAGTCAGTCATGATCAGTGTTGAACCTAGGACAAATGTGAATAGGTATTGAGAATATGGTTTAAAAAATTGGGAGTACGTATGAAGACATACGAGAGCTCAAGATTAGAGAAAGGTAAGTGTATGCATCTAAGTCATCACGACATTTTGAGTCATGTCCCCAAAGTTTTCAGTCACTGATTGCGGTTGTTGCGCAAACCTTAAAATGGTAGTCTGTATCTACCAAAACGGGTCAGACTATGGACCGACGTTACGTTTCGGTTTGGGAGCCCCTTGTCTTTTATCAATATGATATTATTCCAATAAACATCACTCGTCGATGCGAAGTGATTAGGTCTAGGAAATAGTTTACGTCTATTCATGCTTAATTTTTAAAGTTTGACACAACCAACTAGTCATTAGTAAGATGAGAGTAAAACGGTTTCTAGTCAGGTACGAAATAGAGCAGTTGCAAAGATCCATAGCTACTACAATAAACTATTTTAAACCACATACCGTCCTCTAGGTCATCATGAGAAAAACTGGGATGTAATCTACATAGTATGCTCTCAGCATCGTTGTCATAATCCTATAAAAAAATAGATAAACGAAAGTGGCTGAACAAAACTAACTCGTTCAAAGTCACCACGGTTTGGCATGTAACCCAATAGCTGTTGATCTTCAATATCAATATATGATGAGTGTGGTGGTTGCATAGGAGATAACACTACGTGGCTTGTGTGATCTGTAATTCGAGAAGGATATTTATTATCATTCAACAACTCCAGGCCAAATACTCCACCCAAATAGCGATTACAGTAATGATACATGCATTCTTCAGAGCTTTTAGTTCCCACTTTTAAAGCTATATCCTCCCTTAAAAAAGTAAGCTGAGGGGGAATAAAAACACGTACCAATTTCCAATTCCATACTGCTCCAATGCTTCAAGAAGATTCAATTCCTCCTCAGAACTCCAACCCTCGAGAATAGAGTGTGGCAGCAAATTTAGTCTCTACAGTAATTAACGGAGGGATTACAGAATATTTACCGAAACTCGATAACCATGATTTTTCTTGTGTATTCCAGACTCAGCACCGTAACAGTAGCACTGCAAGTAACAATGAGTTTACAAAACTTACAGCAACACATAGCTGTACGCAATCACATTCAACACATATAAGATGCACATCAGCTTGTTTCAAACAGTTCGAGCATATATTTTCTCTCGGGATTGTGGACATCTATTTTATTAGTATCAAAAAAAATATATCAAATAAAAAACGATTGGCTTTATCCACTATAAAAGATAATGTAAATGTTTTTTAACTGAAAAGTGGATGCTTTCGAAAGATATAGAGGAATTTATTTTTAAGACCTGATATCATAAATAACTTCAATTTGTCTCATAAAACAGTGAAAATTAATTTTGTTGAGTACCGCAGGGGTTCATTCTAGGTCGTTTACTGATTATACTTAATATAAATGAAGTCTTACGCATCATTATGTCTCACATGTTACGTAATGTTGATATCAAAGTCTGACAGGCAGAAGAGGCCGATGTACATGCACTTAAGACCAATGTAGACAATTTGGCAAGTTGATCTAATTTCTGGCTAACACCTATCACTGCAGCCAAGTATATCTACATACAAATTACGCACGTAAATGTCAGTAAATGCAGCACGAGGGAAGCGTCAGTGCATTTAGTCCTGCATTATATTGATTTAGGAGTCATAGTAAGTTACGACGAACATGGTGTTGGGTTGTAGATAACGATTTTAGAACTAAGTGTGGGGTCAGAGGCATGCTTTCACCGACAAATACGAATATTTGTAATGAAGTTCACACAACCCTAGTGGTCGAAAGCAAAAAGCTGTGAACAGGCCGTACCACTTTGTTTAAAAGGTAGTTCATATCACTGAGAAAAGTAGAAAGGACAGCTATAAATGTAATCAAACAGCTGCGTAGCTTACCGACCTCAACACCGCTTGAAAAGTTAAGCTTCCTTTCTTAAGCGTAGATTAAAAGATAGATTGGTCGCAGCGTGATATACAAAGAACTTGATTTAACAATCATATATTCTATTTTTTTCACAACTGAATACAAATTGGAGGACATAGTAGACTGTTCCAAAGGCCAAGAGAACACACGAAGTACCTATGACATGTGAACTTTTACATTCAGTAGTCACATTTGGAAGACTATGACCAAGAGGAATGATGTCCTAACCCTTAATTGACATATTTGAAGACACATGGAAGCCCATCAAAGAGATCAACCGACGTTCTTGGCTCTTGATATATAACCACGTGCAGTTTCTTGAATAGGGCTTTAGCAGAGATGGGAGAGAGAGACTGGCCTGAAACTCGAGCACACCAGTCTTGACGGTTTCTGCATGATTTGTCCACTACTCTAAAACTAGTTTCCTTCTCCACTCTACTACTTACACAATTATGATAACCATGCTCTCCGCGATCTCTTTTTGCACGATTTAACTATGTATAACCAACTCATTATTGCAAAATCAATCTTTGAATATAAAACGAATCGAATTGCATGCCCAGTAATCATATACAAGGACAGCTGCAGAAGGACAACTGGATTTACCGCGACGGAGTTTTTTAGCTACTGGAAAACGAATATTCAGGAAAACCTATTTCCTCAGGAATTGGTCTAAGTGAGTCAACTTATCAATAGAGATATAACAACCGAGGACGTCATGACAAGGTATGGAAAGGTGGTAGACGAAAGAATTGCCTTCTAAGCCTAATTTTACCATAGGAAGAATTAACGCAAATGTGTACCTCTTGCAATGAAGTTAGGAAGGAATCATCCAACTGCGGAAGGTGTAACGTAGCACATATATAGCGCGCCTCCAGAACAGAATCCAATACGGTTGTCTCAAACATGAATAGACTGATTAATTTCTCCGCGCTCACTTCTAATTATTTCGGTACGCCTACAGTCATACGGTACTGTACAAAAAATTGTAGTTCAGCAAATCGAATCCTTTCATTCAAGTTGGTCCGGTAGTTCAATAGTTGTGTGTGGACGTACATTTCTTTTAATACATATGAATCTGTTGGTCTCAATTCAGGAGGGTTTCTGAACATCAGCAGCTATCACATTACTAGGTAGGAGATTGGTTATAATATGGAAAATAATGGAGTGAAAACTTGGGTTCTGCAAAAAGGCGACTGTTTCACGAATGACAGATAAATTATGAAGTTGTTAGTGTGCAAAAAGAAGGAGTTGGGGAACTGTGAGAGGAAACGGGGTTGATAAAAGAGGGATGGGAAGCAGTTACTAATATACGTTGGCGTTAACCATGGTAATTCATGGGACATGCATCAAGTACGGCTGATTCGAGAGGAGAATTGTTTTTCACGGTTGAGTAAACATTTCTCAAGTCTCCCCTTAAACTTATGCATAGAGGTTACTGTAGTTACAGAGCATATCAAATGAGGGAAACTCGTTGTGAGAAAATCCGAGGGCGTACCTGGGTGTTTGTTCCCCTATGTACAGCCTTTCGAAGGTTGTCACGTGGAATATGGTGCTGATGTCTTTGTAGTATACTCGTGTTGGAGTGGTTCGAAACACTTAACGTTGTGTGCCATCATCATCAATTATTCTTCTATAGCTCTACGAGGATATTCACACGTGCTGTAGTTTGTCCTCAAAGGATTTATGTTTCAGCACAATCACTCAATTCATTCCTCGTTTCCGTATTTCGTCCGAGATGTTCATGACACTTTTGAGGAGAAAAGTCAAAGACATTGATATACCCTGCATATGTTTCAAACAGTGTCAGGAACAACTCTGTGATGATTCTGCTAGTGTCTACACGTAAAGTAGGGAGTTGCGTTTGCATTAACTGCATCTCACAGTGCAGTTTGAATTGATGTCCAAGCTTACCGCGCTCACAAGCCCGAAATAACAAACTGAGGAGACAATCGGGGGCGCATTTTCATGGAGTGTGTAGGTTCTTTATGTAAAATAAGGGATCATGTTTATGCCATGACATTTCGACAAGTTTCATCCCATTATCTACTGCTCATTCCCCTATTATCGTATGGTTCTTTGGATGTTCGAATGAAACCGTTTCACTTTTGATGGACTATCATATTTTTGTATCCCCTGCAAAAATAAGTGCTTTCGCGCTAGTTCTATCTAACAGGTCGTTAATAAAGGTCAAGGACAAGGGTGAAACTAAGGTTTTTCCTTGTGAACCTCCTAATATATAGGCCGATCGACTTGCGTGCACTGTACTTGCCTCATTACGAAACATCCTGTTCTCCAGGTACCTTCGGAGCCAAGATTGGAAAGGAACAGTGAAACCTTCGCCATAGGGGATATGTAAAGAAACAGACCGACATTCCCGAAATTAACTGCAATAATAAACCTACCCCACAATCATATAATTGCCATGATTTTTGTTATGTAATCGGTAGAACTTTATGGAGAATTCACATCATTCTTCATATTTATTTGTCCTATTGTATCACTGAGTAATATGATGCTTAGCTATCCTGAAGTACATTGTTGGTCTGGCGCAAAATATGAAACGAGGTGTACAGAACAAGCTATGAAACGCATATGGAGAAATTCGAACTCTTCACTTCTATCTGAAGTTTGTGCTGATCATGTCGTTTAGAAGAACGATGAAAGCTTCACGACCAAACCATCCAGCTCAGAGGACAAAACTCCATCAATATGAATTGTAATATGTTATATAGTGAGTAAGCCATCCCAGCTATACCAAATGGATCAAGTGTTTCTGTGTTCATCATTTTTAACCTTCTTTATGGTGTAAAATGTTCTCAGTTTGCCACCAAGGATTGCACGGTTGTGAACCAACTCCGCTACGTATTTTAAACTTGTGTTGCTCTCTTCTTTCGCCCTGTTGCACTTATACCACTTCTTTATCCGTGGTGTTGGGTGATAGTCATGTTTCAATGAAGGTCCATGATCTTCGAAACAAACCGCGATTTCGTGTTCCTGACTTCTCCTAGTTTATTCTTTAGTCCTCCAACGTTGTTATAGAGGCACTTGATGGTTGGTCTCATCACCTGGTGCTCTTCTTCAGAAACATCTGTCCTTTGAATTTCAGGTAGTTTGTTGCTCAAAGTCGATTGATCAGTTCCGTTAGAAATAGCCACCATAGGCACTTTTTCTGCATAAAATGACTTATTACCAGGATCGTGGACTGTGTCCTGTACTATGGGTTGCTGTTCAAGGTCAACAGACACCTAGGTGTTTTGCTCGACTCTTCTAACGTTGTTTTACCAACCTTGGTCGGCTCTCATTTCATTTGATGTGCTGCAAAATAATCTATTGAACTATGGTCTACTATGATATTGGCATTGCTCTGATAATAAACCTAATCCTAAAATTGTAGATTTGTCGTGATATAACTGGCTAATATATAAGATCTTACGTGGAAGTCACATCATCGTCAACACCAGCTAATTGAATCGTAACAACCACCAATACATGTTGGAGAATACAAGCTTAGGATAGGGATAGAACAATATATTTAATATGAGTAAAAAATATAAGGTAACATTCAACAGGGACCACGCCTGCAAGGCCGATCCATGCCACCTGATCAATTCAAATTCATTCAATTCATCGTTCCCGCCTACTTCATCGTCGGGTTTTACTCCGCGTTAAATATTGAATGGCTATCTCCCCATGTTGAGCTTTGAGAATTTTGTAGTTAGGGCCTGATGCCACTACAAATCCCTCGATCTATACCGGGCTCCAAGAGCCTCAGTTAAGTCCTCTCGGCACCTGAGGTTCACAGCCGATAGACGCAGAAATTCAATAGTCACGAGGTGCAACGGACGGTGTTCCGTATTACTCACATTACTCTGAGATTTATCTCGTGCAGTTTATAATTTTTTAAGTTCTGTTTCCAAGAAACAGAACCTTTCAAGTTACTATTAACCTTTGAAAGTGAGCCTCTACTAGTCGTCTTCGTAGTCATAATGTAAGTATTTGTGGTAACACTATTATTGTGAATATTAATAAAATATGGAAAGTGAAACAATTTGGAGAGAATTATACGAGATGTGACTTTCTTAAAAATAACGTCAAAAAGTTAGCGACTGCATGCTACAGAAATATAAAGTCTGACACAAAGTTGCAACCTTATCTTCGACCACTCTAGCAATAAACTTTGATAGCGAGTTCGAAGGTCTTGGATTCGAGTTGTGAGTGTGGGATCGTGGATATACACTGCTGAGGAGTCCCATACCAGGACAAAACGGTCGTCCTGCGGTTCTGGGTTGTCACGAGTGGTTTTAAACCGTTTGGTCCGTGATCACATTTAAATGACTCAACAATCAACTGCTCAAACAAAATAGATCAACAGACGTACGAATAACATGTAAACGAAGATGATGAGAGTAGAGATGAGTAAAACTAAGTTAGTGTTGTGGGATGGTAATGATAATGATGCTAGGTAACTTGCGGAACATGCGTCATTCGAAACTTGTTCAAGCGATTGGGTAGATGTGAACATGGCTTCATTCCATGGTACTTATTAGGAGTTCTGTGATTACACGGACTTGAAAAGAGCTTCTTAGTGGTAGGACGTGTAACTAAAAGTCAAATCATTCATGTTTTTGAAACTTGAGAGATGCAACAGTAAGTTCCTAGTGGAATTAGTCTCCAGGATGGCCTGTGTTTGTTAACAAGTTTTATACCGTTATCAGACAATCCTGTATTCTTCCGCGTCTTAGAGAAGTTGATTCGTATGAAAATGATTGTAAATAATGAAATCTTCATTCTCTGGATTTGACCTTGAATATTATGACCCACTTCCTCTGCTGCATCTGTTTTTGTAAGAGATAAGTGTTTCTTTTTATTATTCCTCAGAGCAAAGACAAACTAGATTGAAAGGCTTCTTAGTTACACTAAGAACTACAAATAGAGCTAGAGTCGTAGCGTTCAAACAGAAGTCGTTAACTCTGGATTTGGAGCTTAAGAGGCGATTTCCCTAGTTGTTTACCGTAGCGGATTTAGATCCAGAAATACTGATAGTGGACGTTTTAACGAATATGAATTTCTAGCTGATATGAAGAAACGGCATGCAAACCTTAAAGAAACGTAGAATTACACGAAGAACGAAGAAAGTCTTGCCACTTCCTTAAATTTTAGTACGGACTCCGCTTTATCCTAACCAAATCAAGCCCCCAACCTTCCAGAAGTTAAATAAAGGCCATACAATCAAAATTGAAGATTCACTTGTGTTTGCTAGGTGCTGTAAAAGCACATAACCATGAATTCGTGTACGTTTTACATGTTCTTGTAACGATTGGTACAACCAGCTAACAAGCTACTTCATACCTATAAGTTTTGTGACAATGATAAACATTTAGAAATTCTGATGCTGATATCTACAGACAAGCATTTTGAACCTATTCAGAGATGTAAGAATGATCTATGAACATAGATTTGACGTTACATCTATTAATAATATACTGTTTTCCGATATCTAATCAATATCAAGAATGTGAGGCATTTTTCCACTTCACTGATTATCAGCTGTAAGAACATTATAATCCAGTGATTTCTAAATATGGTGGAATTCAAACGTGTCTGTCGTAGGGTATCTAAAACTTCAAACTGATTTGATTTTGTTGATGCAACCGAACCACTTTCCAGTTCTAGGTTCAACTAGAGAGTGTATAATCTAGTGAGAGTTGAGTTTTGGATATGCAATCATTCAGTGTAAAAGGTTAAATCATATTAATAGACGAGATCGAAGTGCTCAACATATAGTGGTCGAATTTTAAACAACATCTGAATGGCTACTTTACTCAATCGTCTCTAGCGTTTTATTCAAGTAAAAAGCTTTTTTCACTCAATTGATTTGTAAAACTAAAAATCACAAGCACCTCAGATGATGGTACTTGGTTCAGCCTCTCAATATAATTTGTTTAGTGTGCATGGTTACGTAAAGGTCAGTCGTAGAGTAGAAATCTTAGTAGCCGTTGAACCATGGAACGTATGTCAAT